AATTGCCTTTAAGATGATTTCTCGAAAGTCTTTGAGATTGTGTGGATACCTTCCTGCTGTCCCGTGTTTCTCTTCAATGTGTTCGAGCATCTTGTAAAGCTGGTCAATTTCAAACCGATTTCTACAATTTTCTTTCCATATCCTTATCGGATTTTAATTTCATTCGTTTCATTTATAACAATCACGATTGTCTGGTGAGTAACACAAAAGACAATACCAATTACTGTCTAATTAGGACTGTTTAAACGCTTATCAGTCTTTGTTACTAGTTATCTGTTTATAGAATAAAGAAGTTTAATAATACAGGAATAATCAATGGCGTCCATTTTTATCTCCTTTAACTTCGAATACATAATAGAACAATCCAAGAAGCCGAAATACTTCCCCCTTTTGTCCAAATAAACATACCGGGAAAGGTTATTTTCGTATTTATACGTAATCCAGTTAGATGCAAGCCAACTTGTCATCAGATGAAAATAATAAGAAGAAAAAAGGCGCGTAAAATGGACACCACATTTTAGCTCATGTGTGATGCATTATCTGATGAGTGTAACTTCCTAGCTGCTGTGATGGAGGAGTTATGTAGGCCTGCAGTCACGGCCACGAAACGGAGTAGAACAGCCTAAGGGATGTCTCCATGTACACCAAGTTCAACTCCAGTTGAGGGTACCCTTTGTGCCTATTGAATATTAATAAAAGCTACATTGATATTGCGCACGTATCCATAGGGGATGCTCAAGGCGCATACACAGGCAGAGCTGAGGATTGAAATGGGTTATAACAAAATATTGCAAAAATATTGCAAAATTATTTACATTACTTGTATCAAAGAGAACTGTTGCTGAGCTAGCGCCATGAGCGTCCCTGGACAGTGTGTGCTCTCTATAGGTTTACACTATTATTACACTATTATTATTACACAAAAGCATTGGTCCAAACATGACGGAGCCACGGACTTATAGACACACCGATCGAATCGGGAAGGGGAAGATCGGAGGTAGCGGTTTTAGAGGGTGCTTATTGTTGGTTCATGCCCCCCCCCCCAAACCGTCACCCCAAGTCTTTATCTCAAATGAATTCAAGCGAGGCACATGCAGAAAATGAAACAACCCCCCCCTCCCCCAATAAAAAATATTCTTCTCGAACCGTGCCTGCTTGAAATTACCCTTCGATAGATTTCTTGAAAGTCTTGACGATCTTTGGGGGAAGATCAAATGGAAAAGGGGGCCGAGGAGGAGAGGGAAAATACAATTGAAAAATATGAGAAGAAGATGACACGACCCACTTCCACACCCTCCAGTGTACTGTCATACCCGCTCGACAGGTTCCGTTTAATTACACCCAGCTTTTTCCCCTATAGGCATGCGGCACAGTGGAACAGTATCTTGGGCTCAAGATTTTTCCAAAACTTCTCCAAGCCCCCCCCCCCCCCGTTCTTGTTATAAATGAGAGTGGAATTGAATCCAGGAATTCCAGGTACCACCCGCAAAAGATCCTTTTAGCCCCTCCCCAAAGAACAAAAATCTTTTTTAAAAAAACGCGCCTAAATGAACTCAGTATATTGATCTACGTCTCTATAGGCAATTTTTGATCAATATTTTGATCATTGGTCGATGTTAAAACACTGTATAACATACATTATTGTCCTAGGGTGTGGGGTTGTACAGCCATCAAACTGCATATAATAGTGTATTGTTTCATTGTTTTAATATTAAACCATATTGGGAAGATATTGTGTTTATTGTCTACTGACAACCAAATCTTTTCCAATGAAATAAACAAAATAAATCATTTGTATAACTTAAAAAAAAAAAAAAAATCAAAATCAAAATAAAAATCAGCAAGCAGGAGGGAGAGGCGTTTACTCCTCTTTATCTTTCGTTTGTTTGCCTGTATCTGCATGCTATATATTCTGCCCGCCTTTATATTCCTATTTCTGTTTTCCGTATCCTCTTTCCCCCTCTTTTCCTTCACACCTTATAATACATCTCTTAACAATGTGCCCCTCCCCCTCTTCTCCTCCCCCTCGCCCCCTCTCTCTCTCTCTGTCTTTGTCTATATCATTCTGTCTGTCTCTCTCTCTCCCTATCTCTATCTCTATCTGTCGTTGTCTCTGTTTCTCTCTTTTACTCTCCCCCCATCTCCCCCTTTCTTCCCCTCTCTCCTCCCATCCCTTTCATTTCCCCTCCCTTTGACTCGGTTGATACCAGCAATATAAGCATACGACTGAGTGGCGATACATACGTGCAGGAGGAGGAGGAGGAGTGGGTCGGGCGGGGAAGGAAGGCGGTAAGAAGATGTCACTAGGTATGCCCGATCTCTCATCGCTAGTAATAAAGACTGTATTTGTCAATTCAAGCAAGACGGCGCAAGCCTTCGACTAATCCTGCCTCAATGTCACGTTCTTGCCGTATAACTTTCCTACCCTCCAGGCTCCGATGGAATCTCAACCATATTTTTATAATAAATATGATATCATCTTCTAACTATTTTGTTCTCTTATGAAAATATGCATCGTCTTTTGGGGGAGCGCAGAAATCCGGATTCATTGAAAGAATTGGAGGGTTCGCCTCTATACTTGTGGTAGATCTATTTCTCACATCTCTATCTGAAAGCCTTTGAAACCAGTGGTTTTTACCGCGGATGTAGTGATGACCCCCCCCCCCCCCCACCCCCATTTTCCCATTTAGTGATTTTCTTTCCTTTAGAGATAATTATGTAGGGTTAGGGTTAGGATTGTTGATATATAGGGTTTTAGGTAAGGTTTATAATATGATATGGAATTTTTGTGTGCAAATGTATAAAGTTAAGTAGAAAGAAACTGCTCGAATGCCAGAGCGCCTAAACAGGGTAGCCCTGCTAAAACCGGAATAATAATAGTACAACGTTTAGAAACATTAGTATTAAGTGATATATATATAATATTCATATATATATATATATATATATATGTAACATTAATGTTACAATTATTATTGTTGTTTTTATCAATTATTCATTTTAATGTATGTGCGGTGTGTTACGGCAGGCCATGGAAATGTGTGCTGAATAAGGTGTTTAAAAAATCAAACGAAGACCTACGAGGAAAGTTCATCATATATATCTGGGCTGTGTTTCTCGCCCATGCTCAACAATTACTTGATGTTATGAAACGGACTCAATGGTCAATTCAGTTGTTGCCATAGCCTTAGGAGAGCGTTCGGGGTGGAGGGGGGGGGGGGGGGGAGCGGAGGAAGTCGGATGGTGGACTATAGTGCACAGGCGCGGATCCAGGATTTCTTAGGGGAGGGGGCCCAACTTTTTTTTTTTTTTTGCTCCCGAAAATTTGAAAATCGCGCCGGCCGAAAAGTCGCTCAGTTGGGGGGGGGGGGGGGGGGGGGGGGGGGGGGGGGGTACAGAGCACATTTTTTTTTTTTTTTTTTTTTTTTTTTTTTGGCTCCCGAAAATTTGAAAAACGCGCCGGCCAAAAATTCGACAGTGGGGGGGGGGGGGGGGGGGGGTGGTGGGGGGGGGGGGGGGGGGGGGGGGGGGGGGGGGGGGGGGGTAGTGAGCACATTTTTTTTTTTTTGATCCTCAAAAAAATTTCAATTTGCACCCCCCCCCCCCCTTGAGCGCCAGGGGGGGGGGCCCCAAACCCCCCAAAATCGTAAAAATCACGTGATTTTACATGATTTTTTTCTCAAGGGGGGGGGGGGGCCCCCCCCCCCCCCCCCCCCCCCTGGTCCGCCACTGATGTGCAGATGGAGAGATTCGTGAAAGTTCATTCCCGGCGCCCCCTCTCAAATAAGAAAAATACTATTTTGTATTTTACAGTTTAAAGACAAAGTTGAACAGATCCTAGCGTCGGCCTTTGTATTCATGTTTTGAGAGACCAGGGACAGCACCCTTGGACATGTCTACTGAGAGGCGCTCCATTGTGCCATAGGACTCACTGACAAAGGCCTATAAGCCTTTGAGAGTTAACATTTTGCAGCGCTTACATAAATACACTAAGGATATCTCCTATAGTATAATAAAGTTATTAGCATACTGCAAAGGAGTTTTGAAAAGTGAAAGTTTGCATACCAGATGAAAGCCTAACAGAATGACATAGCCTTTACTCATTATTTTCCACACGTACATCACCCCCTCCCCCCTAGGAAAAAAAAAAAATACTCGGGCGAGGAGAACATCTGATTTATTTATTTATTTAAAAAATTGAGAATGATCATATCTGTTTGGATCGAAATCAATAAAATTTGAATTGAATTGAATTGAATTATATATATAATAATATATTGGGGGTATATGATAATATATCGGGAGAGGGGGGGGGGGGGGGCTGGGAGAGGGATGAAGCCATGCATGCACCCCGGGTCGCCGCAGACTATACTCGGGGGGGGGGGGGGGTCAATCGATCCCAATATGACTGGGCTGCACCCGCGTCAAGTCAAGAAAAGGCGTCGAAAGGGTGCCCTTTTCAGCTATACGGCGTCGTCGCCTTTTTCGTTGAAGCACTGACGTACAAAAAAAGTGCGCAATTCGCCATTAGGGTCATTTCAGAAAAGGTGCGATACGCCAATAAGGTGCATTTCACAAAAGGTGTGAATCGTCATTAGGGTCAATTTCAGAAGTTGGTGGACACGGATGGGTAGCACTTGTGTTCGAATGAGAGTGACTCCCGCCCCCCCCCCCCCCCTTTCGAGCCTTATATACCGCACCGTCATACAGAATGGATAGACAAAATATTACACAAATAGGGGTGGAATGCTATAGTATTCAAGCTGACAAGTGGACAAAAATTACACACATTGGGTTAATTAAATGGGTTGGACGAATTCAAGACGAATTGGTATTGCTCCAAATAGAACCCAAATAGATGTAAATAAATAAGTAAATTTGCTGCTACCACAAGCGACAATTTGCGGTGCAGCGCGTTCGTGGGCTGAATAGAAGTAGACTGGCTATATGCATAGAGATATGTTATTAAGTATAATCTCTATGGCTATATGATATCAGAGCAGCGAACGGCGGCTAATTCGAGTGTTCATAACGACAAAAAAAAACGATCTATGACTTGACATTGTCATACACACGTTTTCAATACATTTTAACAACTCGTAAATAATGGATGATACAGCTGAGAGGGTGCCTGAAATTCGGAGGTAATTATGTGTTTTAATTTAGATGCTTGAAAGTAAATTTCACATTTGATATGTTGCCTTTTTATTTGCATTGCCCCACATGTTGAAATATTTGTAATGATAACTGCTATAAATCTAAATCTATTGCACTGTGACTGCCACAGTGCGACAGTGCGTCTGTCAAGCTTGGGGTGGGGGGGGGGGGGGGGGGGGGCACAAATAGATAATCTGATCTCGAAGTCTTTTGATAATTTTGGCATTAGTTTTTTTAATTTCCAAAATCAAAATTACCGAGAGTGAGAGAGAGAGAGAGGGCCGGGCGTGCATGATGATGACCTGCAAGTGCAAACTGAAACTGGTCAAAAACGATGTGCCGAATGTGTTTGTGATTTTAAATTTAATTAGAATTTAGATTCAGTCGGTAGAGCAGTGGTTTAGCAGTGGTCTCGTCACTCTCGTGATCGGTGACCAGGGTTTGAAACCAAGTCGATGCGCTAGTGCCCTTTGCCTTGGTTAGGCATTAATCCTCATTACCGTCGGCCGTCTGGGTTGCTTACGTACAAAGTAGGCTTGAGTCGGTACGGTCGATCACACCGGGACCCGACCTTTGCCGTCGGGTCCCGGTTTCGTTTTTTGAGAACCGACGCTCCGAAAAAAAAAATGAAATATGTAAGAAATTGCAGTTTTGCACACCACTTAAAACTTAAGTATTTAATTGTTACCAATCATATTCTAGCTCATCCTGAATAAATCCGAACTGCTGATATAAATATGGGTTACAGAGCAGTTCGCCCCATGGGGTTGTTGTTGCCAGCTGCTAGCTAGCTACTGTACTGGCCGGGTCTCTCGGCAGGATTAATAAATAAGGTTTGAAAGAAACATTAATGTTTTGAATAATAAAATGGCTTTCTAAAAAGTACTTCTTTACAACATACCGATCGAATAATTTAAAAAAGACAAAATAGATATTTTTTTCTTTGATTTTGAACACCGCATGCTTCTTTTAAAAGCTGAAACATTACTTGGTAATCACAAGAAGTTTCGATACGGATAGCTTTGCAAGGCAAGTTCAGACTAGTCTCGGAAAAATGCGCAGTGCACATCGTTAGCTGTAATGCGTGCCCAAACGAACCCAAACAAAGACGTGATCGTAACAAGAAAAAAAAATCATTAAAAACTACGAGAGCACAATTGGAAAGACAACTAATCAAAATTATCGTAAGCAGATACATAATTTGGAGGAAGAATACAATAGTTGTCCAAGAAAAGCCACAGAAATAGTGATATTATGGAGTTACTAAAGGTACAATCATTATCGGAATGGCCCCTGCTGCGATTTCCGAATTACACGTGTTTAAATTGAACACGAGGCTAGCCGCCCTCTACGGTAGAAAGCAGTATAACAAAGGATTCGAGTATTTGCAGCAGGAAGGCCCTTTGCGATAAAAATGTACCAGTTACTCCTCGATTATTTCTGTCACGGGGGGCTTTCTTGGACAACTATTGTATTCTTCCTCCAAATTATATATCTGCTTACGATAATTTTGAGTAGTTGTCTTTCAATTGTGCTCTCGTAGTTTTTAATGATTTTTTTCTCGTTACGATCACGTCTTTGTTTGGGTTCGTTTGGGCACGCATTACAGCTAACGATGTGCACTGCACATTTTTCCCGAGACTAGTCTGAACTTGGCTTGCAACAGCTATCCGTATCGAAATTCTTGTGATTACTAAGTAATTTTCAGCTTTAAAAAAAAAACATGCGATGTTTAAAATAAGAGATAAATGTTTATTTTGTCTTAAAAAATTTTTTGATCGGATAGGTATATGTAAAGAAGAATGTTTTAGAAAGCCGTTTTATTATTCTAACATTCATATTTTTTGACCCAATTTATTCAACCTGCATGAATCAAAATGGCGCCTCGAATGTTTTTTCTATTTTTGCCCCAGCTTTTTAATTTTAGAGGCACGATAATGGCACTAAACATCGCCAATCATGGATGAAAATAATGTCAAATGGAATAATATACCGATCTGAGCCGAGGTAGGTATGCATGTGTTGATTTATTTGATTGATAAAAAAGGTCACTTTTAAGGGACATACCGATGATATGCGCTTATTATACAGGCAAGTGACAAATCCTGCGAGCTGATTTCGGGACACCGGGTCCCGATCGGTGCAAAGCCGTCGGGGACCCGGTTTATGAAAATCCCGACATGACTCAGGCCTAGTACAAAGCATTTATGCTTTCTTAGCAGTCAGGTAAAATACCCACCACCACACGATATGCTGCTACCACTACTAGTTCACTACACTAGATCTCGATCTAGACCTAGGCTACATGATTTTAATTTAAGTGTTAGACTGTTAGACTTAGACTAGAGGTCTAAAATATACTGAACTTAGAGACGCGCAGCAGACAAAATATGGCTGCATTTTTTGCAAAGCCAAGCGCAGCAAGCAAAGTTCTAAGACAAGTTCTGACTTGTGTACATTGTATGTTGTAGACATGGATGATGAAAGAAAACAAAATAATGCAAAATAAATATTAAAAGCAGCATTTTGGTTAGACTCTGTCATGTCTGCCACCTCCACTAAACATGACTAACAACTTTGTCTAAAATGAATTATAATATTTGATTTTATAAAATGGCTCTAGTATTTTAAGCATCGTGATTGGTCAATACGCGTCACATGACATTGACAAAATTTTGATGCAAGCACGATTTTGCAGAAATGAGTGCAGAAAAAGCGCAACAAAAAGTTATATTGCACGTGACCATGGAGATCCAGTGCGCGCGCGTACGTGTAGTACGCGCTCCCTCGAGTGCATTGCAATTATTGTAGGCTACGCGTAGCTAATAGTAATATTGTACGCTCCACCATGATCCCCAGCGCAAGTACGCGTAGCTTAGCTCTAGCATGGACTTACTAGACATAAAAAGCAAATTTTATTTTACTTTTGCCTTGGATTTAGGTCTGTTTTGACTTTTGGATTTTATAATGAAGCCAGGAATTTCAGCTGTCTGATGTAGATTCGTCTCTAGACCCACTGTAGAGTGTAGACCTCTGTGGATTTTATTTTTAATCAAGGCAATGAATCCCATTGACTTTTTGGTAAGCCTGCAAGGTCTTAGTCTAGAACCAACCTAACTCTAGATCTAGATCAAACTCTCGTAGACGTACTTAAGATCTAAAGTTTCGTTTGTTGCTATTTGTGTCGCTATTTTATAAAACAAATAACGCACTTGACCAATTGTGCGAAACGTAAATGCAGTGTACGCTCGGTTTCTTCAGATGGTTCGCACTGTCAAATCGCCGCAAGCGGCTTGTTGCACAGAGCGGCACCAATCTAAAGAAACCTCGCGCGTACTGCATTCACCGCTATTGCACTCTGGGACGTGCGTTATTTGTATAGTATTGTTTCAAAATACAATTTTATTATTTAGAAAAAGGGGTTGTACATTTGTACAAGTAATAACATAATGACTCAAATAACATTCAATGTAGAAAAATGTACAAAGTTGCACTTGCACACAAGAGTATACAGAAAATATGTTTTGAAAAATTAGATTTTCAAACCATAGACCTGCATTAAATCTTGATTTCATCTTACAGTTTTGAACAATAGCGTCACATCTTGATAAACTGAAATTTCTAAAGTTACACCCTAAACTCGTTGTTGGATCACTTTCATCAAACCACACAAAGTGTGCATGTATCAGGAATAATTTTGATGTTGAAACTTGAAAATTCTTTAAAACCAAACTTTCAAGTTTCAATGATAGCTATGTATCTTGTTATATTTTATTCATTTATTTATTTTGTACTCAATACAAGGCCTAAAATAAAAACTTGTTGTATTGCCCTTTGGGTGCCAAAACATGGGTCGGTCGGTCGGAAAAGTTTTTTTTTTAAAAACTTTTTTTTGTCGCCCTTTTTGGGCCAATATTTTTTCAGATTTGAATGTTGTTGTTTTTTCCTTCTTTTTTTTTCCGCCCTCATTTGGCTGATATTTCTCAGTTTGTAATGCTTTAATACATGTGTTTCAGCGTCATCATTCCATTGATATCCTTTCACCTCATAATTATCCATGGTTTGCACGAGTGAGAATTTTGGAATAATTTGATTTTATGCATAAATTTATATCCCGTTTAAACAAACAAATTACATACCGGTATTTTGTTATTCAATAATTTTTAAAAAATCTAAAAAAACAGTTTAAAAAAAAAAAAAAAAAACTTTTTCAAAATGCCGACCATAGATTTTCAGATTTTTGGGTCGGTCGCAAAGGGCAATACAACAAGTTTTTATTTTAGGCCCAATGGTGATTCCAGAGTTCTGACTTCAGATATATTATCCATTTCAAGTTTGATTGATGTGTCATTGAGATGTCTGACTTTTCTCTGAATATCAAATTCTAAAATTTACAAATTATGCTTGGTGTGCTGATCGTGTTTTTTGTGTCTGTGTCTTTATTTTTTACTGAATTTTTAGAATTTTGGGGGAGATACCAAGCCCACAAAACCTGTTTGCAAGCTTCATGAAACAGGAAGAGAGAGAAGATGACAATGAAGTGCAGAACCTGAAGCTCAAATGCAGCAAAGATGAGGTAAGTCTTCTCTTTTTAGGGTTGCATATAACAAAAAATAAAAAAGAAGGAAAATACATAAAGACAAAGCCTTGTTCAGATGTGACATAGTAATTTGGTAAATCACAGCATCTTTTAGTTTTAAGAATGACGTAACTTCACGCTTTGCCAAATCTGCATCTAACTGCCTTTAAGTGAGAATTCCTTTTTTATTAAAAGCTCCAGCTAACCCCTTCATCTCTGGATTAGGTTTTAATAGACAACTTCTAACATAACATCAACTGTGTGAAATAGAAAAACGTTACATTTTTAAAAGAATTGGATGTTTATATCAGTCATTCTTTTAAAGCGGGACTGCACTACTTGTAGCTACTTGCAACCTCTATATATCAAACAATGCCTAAGCAGTACCCGTTGGTCCCCCATGGTCCCCTTTTACTTATGTTAATAATTTGAGAGCTGATTTGATGAGACCAGGCAGGAAGGTCTAATCCTTCTAAGCCAAACTAGTGCAAATAGGCTTTAAGACTATTGTTTACATTGCATTTATATGAAGATAAAAAAATCAAAGCAGCTTGAAATTATGAACCCCAAGTGCATAGACTGAAAATTTGATTTTTTGTTTTGTTTTAACATTTCATGCGTTGTTCATTTTGTGCTTGATTTTTTAATTAGAATGAATTCACCAAGCTGAAGCAAGCACTGATCGAGGCTGAAACCAGGTCTAAGATGATTGAGTTTCTCTTCAACAAACCTCTTGAAGAATGGCCAACCATGGACACAGCAAACAGCAGTAAGTTATTTATCTTAAAGGTTGTATGACATACATGTATGCTCCTACAGCTCCTCTGCTTTTGATTTCCTACATGTAATTAACTTTAACCCTGGAACCAACATGAATAAAAATAGAATAAAATAAAAATAAATAAATAAATAAATACAAAAATAAAAAAGCTTGGAGAATTGATGCTGGAGCCAATACACCTTTAAAGTTGTCACTTTTCATTTTTCACTATGGTGAAAAGCTGTACCGGTATGTGCAAGCCAAGGTTTTTTACAGCCCACATCTAAGATTTTAGCATATCTCTCAACTGTATCAAGCTGACAACCCTATCAGAGCTTGAACCATTTGAAGTGCAATTTTTTTAGGGTTTCAATATTGCACCATATTACAGACACTGATAAAACGTAGGGCCATGCATCTCAGATTTAACATTGTTAAACGATGCCTATAATTTTCTTGTTTAGAAATTGACTTTTTAATAATATTAATAATAATAATGGGTTCTTGTATAGCGCTCATGTCAGTCAGATTTGACCCTCCTGGCATTTCAAGGAATAATGAATTCCTACCAGGTACCCATTTACTTCACCTGGGTGGAGTTTGGCAAATGTAGATCAATGTTTTGCCAAAGGACATTAGTGCGGCAGCGGGACTCGAACCATGAACCTTGTGATCGACAGTCCGGCGACGTATCCACTAGACCACAACACCTTTAAGATCTTACATTGATTACATTTTTTGAAGGTGACACCTATTCAGTTGTCACAATGAGGCTGATTAATTTATTGTATTTTTCTTGGATTAGAAATTGACTTTTTAAGGAGCATTACCATAATAACTTGCAGAGTGTTTTACTATTCTTTACAGAGGAGAATTTTGACCAAGTGAAGGAGGATCTGCGGAATGCAAAGCAAGAAGTAGAAGATCTGGAAGAAAAGCTGACTGATATGATTGAGAGTGCACAAGAAAGTAAGCTCTTTTAAGTTCAGAGTACTGCTTAACAGGATTTCAAATACTGTTAATGTTGTTTAGATAATTTCAGGGCTGTTCAAGGTACCGGTACTTGTTTTTGTAGAAACATACCATAATCCGAGTCTAATGCTATAACAGAACAGCATACCCATCTCCAGGCATGGGTTTTTTTCCAGGTACACTCCCCTTTCCAGTTCTGAAGAAAATTTTCTGGACTTTAAAGCCCATCTGCACTAGTTTGGCCAGGGGGGATTAGACCTCCCTGCAAGGTCACTGACAGGTGTTTATCTTATCAAATCAGCTCTCAATTAACATAAGAAAAAGCGGATCATGGGGGACTAACAGGCACTGATTAGGTATTGTTTGCTATATAAAGGGCGCAAGTAACTATAAGTAGTACAATGGGGCTTTAACATTCACGTTTAGATCACTGAACACTTTGCATTACTGTGTGCATCCGCATTGCCCACTTTCCAGACTTCTGTAGAAACGAATCCCCGGGGTGGGGGGGGGGGGGTGTTTCACGAAGATTATAAGTCAAACTTAAAAATTATAGATAGCCATTTGTAGCCTTAAAATAAAATATATTCAAAAGCAAAAATTAATGTATTTTTAGACTTTTCATAAATTCTACATCCAGAACATGAAATCTCCTTGATAAAAGAAAATATGAATGATTTGAATCAAAATGTTATGCCTTTTTAAAATAACTTTTACAAAATATTTTCATAGATGCTAACAGCTTCCCATAATTGTAAAGTCAAACTTAGAGATTTAAGTTTGACTTAAGATCTTTGTGAAACACCCCTAGATATACAGTACTGTTGATCTCCGAGTCTCCTGTAGAAACACCCTGTGAGTTTCAGCAGATGTAAGCAATTGAATTGAGGATTTTGTTGATTCTATTTCATAGTGTGGAGACTGAATTATGATGGTTACAATAAAATATACATGTATGTTGAAGTAAATCATTTCAATGTTCAAATAATACTTCAAAGTTCCAAATAATATGCAAACAACACCAACTTTATGTCAATAAAATACAGGGGAAAACAGATCATTACCTTCCTTTTTTGTAGGTGTAAAATATTATTGAAACAACTTTTATTTTTTAAATGGTTGCGGACTGTAGGGGATTGGAAATGTTTAGGATACTCTGGTAAAAGCAAGAGACTAAGAAGTGAGTTCACATTACCCCCCCCCCCTCTCTCTCTCTCTCTCTCTCTCTCTCTTTCTCTTTCTCTTCCCTCTCATAATATATTCATATTTTGAATAGTTCATGTGTGGTAACATGGAAACTTGAGATCGAACTTAAGACACCTGTGGATTGAAACACAAGACAGAGACGCACAAATCCCAAATCCATGAATCATTTAAATGGAAAGCATGTATTTTGAGAATCTTTGTGACTCATTTTTTTTTAAAAAGCGATTTTTATCTATTTTTGTTTCTTTCTACAGAGTTGGAGACAAGGAACAGAAAAAAGAAGAAGCTGACAACATGCTGAGCACAGTGGAAGCAAAGGTAAAAATTGATTGCATATTTGTACAATATTTATATGTAGACCTGTTACAAACAAAGTTTAGCTTTGTTGTATTTATGAATGGGTGAGAAGATTTATACTAGGTAATCTGGCCAACTTGAAATAGAAATCAGTAAAAAAAAAAAAAAAAAAAAAAAAAAAAAAACACACATGTTTTTAAATGGGTTGAGATTACCTGCTTTTCATTTTAAATGACTCCACTAATATTCAGCCATTTGGGGATCTGTGTGGGGCTGTTTATGTTTCAATCCATTTGTCCATATATTAATGAGAGAGAGAGAGAGACAGACAGAGAAGAAGACAATTTGTCAGACTGGATTGAAATGTCAAATTGATATTTCGAGGAGAGCACAGATGACCCCCACATATCCACATATCTTTTAAACATGAAAAAGTTCCACTTTTGTGCATTTTAGGACAATGTCTGTCAAAGTGATGGAGGAGCTTCATGAATACAGGTATCTATTGTTTGCCCTCTGAAAAATAATTCCACCTGGAGTGTGTATCATAGAATGTCCTGTTGGTGCATGAATGTATAGGGATTACATAACTTTCATGAACACATATCAAATATTCGTCCCAGTGGGTTTTACAATTTTGTACAAATAACCGTTATCTGCCCATGCGCAGATAGTGTAATTATATGAGCTGGCTTATTACAGTGATCAATCCTGTTTTTAATTTAATTCACAGAAAGCCAAGCTAGAGTCATTGAAAGCCACACGTGAGCAAGCCTTGAACGGACTTGATGGTGTCAAGATGGAAGGCATGGATCTACCTGTCAAGCTTCAGGAACAGGTTAGCTTGACATACTGTACCTCATTGTAAATGTGTCATGGTCTAGTGGATGCGTCATCAGACTGTGGATCACACAATCCACAGCTCGATGCTCGTGTCCTGCCACAGCAGTAATGTCCTTTGGCAAGACATTAATCTACATTTGCCACTCTCCAACCAGGGGTAGTAAATGGGTATCTGGTCTTGGAATGCTTTGAGTGCTTAGTGTAGCTAGGCTAAAGCCATGATACTAATTGTCCGGGATGCCAGTTTTGAAGCAATAGCCTGAATTCAGGCCCTGGCAAGTTATTTTCAGACCATAGTTTAGGCTTTTTTGTGCACAAAATAGCTTATTCTAGGTGATTTTCAGGCCCTCTGTTAAATTCCAACTGGCATCCCTGAATTGTAAAGTAGTCTAGCACTTTGTCACAGTGACATTACTGATTCAGCCAAATTGAAGTGCCCATATATGTAAAGTGATTAAAACTTTCAAAAATTCATGATTTGCTTACTTTTTGTCTCATTGAACTCAAAACTTTTACCAGTCTGCCTCTCTGATTTTTCTGATTTCTTGGAGAGTACGGTAGTTGTTTGGATTTCCAACAATACTAAGGTTTTCCAGTACTAGCATGTGCATTATAATGTATTTATTTTGTTTTATACTACTCAAAAATCTTTCACCTGTTGGATGTGATTTCATATTGGTATAAATGACACACATTTTCCACAGATTTTCACATGCAATCTGAAAATGAATTACTTCAAATACATTTCATATGGACATATCTGGAAGGAATGGTGGTATTATCAGGAAATGATATGTTTTATCATTCCAATTGAGGTGACTTATGTGGTCCATGGAACAATATTACAGTTTAATATTCCACAAGTTTGCAAGTGCTTTGATATTATCTATCCAAAGTGGGAACCACCAAGCATGTTCTATCTTTCTTTCCATCGAACAGAGAGAGGCATTGCGGACCACTGAGCTGGCTCTCCAGAGGTGTTACCTGCTACTGACGGAACACAAGAGGGCGGTCTCCAGGCTGCAGGAAAAATGTTGCATGGCAAGGGCTATTCAAAAGACATGCCAGCAAACGGTGGATACTTTGCAACAGCAGAAAGCTGAACAGGACAGAGGAACTAACGAGAGTCGGGAATGGTAAGTTCTTGAAAAGATGTGAAATATTGATCATCAAATTCTCTCATTCCCATAGGAACCACCTATTTCCTGCAGGCGATGGGCTTATTATTGTAACCCATATATAACGCCTACATCTTCAATGAACTTAAAGGTAAATACCAGTATTGGAAACGCCCCAATTTCAAAAAATGAAATGGAAGCTCTCATTACCAATCATGTGAAAGAATATGTTTTGACTAATACATGATGATAAAAAAAATTGCCGGGAAACCGCCTACTAATTCATATATTTGGTAGATTTGTTTCTCTCATGGACTGTGAGAGATATAGGGTAGTCCCATACAGGCGCGTACGCAGGATTTTTTCAAGGGGGGGGTTTTAACATTTATAAATCGGTCCGAAAATTTCGCAACGACTCAGCCAGCCGCTGAATAAGCAGGGGGGGGGGGGGGGGGGGGGGGGGGGGGGGGGGGGGTAAGAGGACACATTTTTTTTTTTTGGTCCCAAAAAAATCGCAACGACTCAGCCGACCGCTGAATAAGCGGGGGGGGGGGGTAAGAGGACACTTTTTTTTTTTTTTTTGGTCTCGAAATTTGGAAATTTGACATTTTGCTCCGTTGGGGGGGGGTTAGGTCACCTTTTTTAGGTCGGCCATGGGAATAATTTTTTTTTTTTTTTTTTTTTTTAATAATTAAAAAAAAAAAAAAAAAAATCCAAAAAGGGGGGGGGGAGGGGGGGGGGGGGGGGGGGGGTTTTAGGTTTTTTTTTAGGGGGGTTTACGCACAAAAAATTTCCAAAGGGGGGGGGGTTTAACCCCCCAAACCCCCCCCCCCCCCCCCCCCCCCCCCCCCCCCCCTGCGTACGCGCCTGGTCCCATATACATCTTTCTGTGTATAGTGCTTGTAGCTTTACGAAGAATGGGCCAAATTTCTTATCATTTTGATGATTCCAGAACCTTGCAGATGCTAGATGCTAGATGATCAACCTTTTCTGATTGATTCCACAACGTTTCTTTCATAATGCAATCGCATGACCATAACTGGTCTTTACCTTTAAGGGCAAAATAACTTTTGCAGTGAGTGCATTTGTTTGAATGCAGAGAAAAAAGACAAACAAGCATACATATATGCACAAGGATCCTGGCCAGCAGGCTCACACAGGCTCCTCACAGGCACACACAGTGTGCAATCTTCAAGGCCTTGAAGCAGCACTTTTCTTGGCAGAAGAAGAAGAATGGCGAAAATTTAAAATAATTAAGCAGAATAATAAGAAAGCTATTGAATGTTGTAAATATGGTCAGTGAATCATGATTAATTTCTGTTTTTCTCCTGGGCTATTTCTTCCTTGGGGTATACTCCCCAAAGTATATTATGGTAGCACATTATTTCAGGTCTTCTCAAAAGAAAAGTCCCTATTGAGTCTTAAATTTGAGTTTAATAGGAAAAAGACAAGAAAAACATCAAATTTGGCATGGGTATGAATAATTAAGTTGTTAAAGATAAAGACCAGTTATGGTCATGCGATTGCATTGTGAAAGAAACGTTGTGGAATCGATCAGAAAAGGTTGATCATCTAGCATATAAGTATTGGTGTGTACTGCAAGGTTCTGGAATCATCAAAATGATAAGAAATTTGGCCCAGTAAAGTTACAAGCACTGTACACAGAAAGATGTATATGGGATTGCGCACACGTGCGTGACACATGCGTTTATCTATCACAGTCCAATAGATAAAAAAAATAACCAAATATATCAATTAGTATGCAGTTTTCCGGCAAAATTGTTATCATCATGTAATAGTCAAAACATATTTTTTCACATGATTGGTAATAAAGAGCTTCCACTTCATTTTTTGAAATTGGGGCGTTTCCAATACTGGTCTTTAGCTTTATCTTTTCTCATAGCATAGCTTACCAATAGAAATACGAAGCTCTCCATCTCTCAATGTCTTCAAGTCCAAATTAAAAATATATTTGTTCAAATTGAGAGATTCTATTTTGTAGAATGTAGTAAAAAAGGAGCTCTGAACCAGCGCAGCTGAATATATTTTGTATAAAAGCCGCGCTATATAAATTTATTATTATCATTGTTATTATCATTCTTATTATTTGATGTGTGTATCTAGGTTGCAGAAGTCTCTTCAAGCACTCAAACACATAACAGGGGTCAGGAATATCAGAGTTCAAGACCAAACAGTCACCCTTGACCTTAGCTGCAATGGGTCAACCTCAGAGGTCATGGCAGAGATCAAGATGACCTTCAAGTGCTCAGCTGATGGAAATGGAGAGAGCAAACTAATTGCTGCTCAGGTTCGTAACTCACTTTATTGTCAGTTTAATGTAAAATAGCAAACTTTTGAGAACTATTAACATGGGTGGGGAGGGGGGGGGGGGGGAGTTCCTGCAGCATGAAACTTTGCAAATTGCACCCCCCCATAAAATGGAAATAAATGAAACATTTGTAAATCTGGAGCACTTATGAAACTATCAAAAGTATCTTGCTTGCTGAAGTTTCTGTTTTAAAAGTACATCCTTTCCTTCATTAAATTATAGACACAAATTTCTTAAGAAGATCCTCCCAAGTTTGATGACTAACCATGTGGGCATTTATAATTCCAATGTACAAATTTCTTAAAATTTAGGAACTTTCTCCTTGGATGTGTTGCATTGACGTCGGTAAGCCTTTTGCAACTTAACTGTAAAACCACTTGTTTATCTGCACTTTGGTTGATTTACTTTTTGTTTAGCTTGGTCAAGAACTCTTAGACTGCAATGATGTTATCTCTGAAGCCATTAGCTTGAATGATCCAGTCCTTTTGGTTGGAGAAATCAAACGCAGACTTAACAGCCACGCACCAGTTCTACAAGAAGTTGAGAGTTTGAGACATCAGTGAGTATCAAGTTTTCTTCACAAGGATCAGCATATTAATCCAAGAGCTAAAATTGTGTTTAAAAGGCAGGGTATTTTACAGACACTGCAACCACTGCTCTTACATATTTTCAATTGTATCATTGTTCGGTGAAGGTGTAAATAGAGCGATTTCCGTTTCTTGTACCCAAGCATCATCACGTCTGCATCATGAAGTTAGTGATGCATTGTGGGACATGGTTGTTGACACATTGGGACATTGTGAGCAGCAGATGGCAGTATACGTGAATCCGCTGCATTGTCAGTAGAATACCCTGCCTTTAAAAATGGTTCAGAGCTCAAGGACTAGGGGGGCATTTCACAAAACTTGTCATCAGTGACAAGTGACAGTTTTTGTTATAAGCTACTGAAATCCTTGCTTCTGATTGGTTATCAGCAGATTTGTCATTAAAAAAAGGCTTTGTGAAACAGGCCCCAGATTAAATGTCCTTAATTTGTGTGCACTGGGGCCGTGTTTAAATCCAAAATTTGGTTGGTCTGGAGGTAAGAGTTTGGTGCCTATGTGCAAGAAAAGCCTGTTAGTGCCAAGGCCTATGTTTGAACCATATTTTAAAAAACTGCAGTTTCATACCACTACACTACTACATGTACTACTTTGTTCAAATTTGATATTTATACCATGTTAAAATTTGAGTAAATGCTTCCAATATTCATCTCTTCAAAATGGGACCTACCTGTAAGTCGATATTCATTGAGTATTTCAATAATGAGTCGGAACAACATGATTAAATCATTTCACTTTCATTCATTCTGTTTCTAGATATGCTATTGACTACGTACACGAGGAAAGGAAGCTGCATGCCATGCTAGGTAGTAGCGGTCAGGTCGTTTGTACGCTGACCATTGATAGTGGCTATCCAACAAGCGGGAAGGCAACGCTCACTAAGATAGAAGGAAATGGACATGACAAAGATCTAGGGCATTATAAGGTACTAAAGTCTTTAATCTGTATGGTGTAGAAGTTGCATATCAAACTTGCATTGTCTCTTTGCAGAAGACAAATTTGAAGCCAATATTTTAAATGTAGTATACTGGCATGGAGCCCAATGCATCTTGTGTAAACTAATTTTCAGATGATTAGTCCCTGTCTGATGTATATATAGAGATATCGACTGCTTCAAGAGGCCTGGCCGTTTTATATGCAAGATGTGCAAGTTCTCGAGAGCATATAAATCAGCCAGACTTTGAATATTAAAGCAGTCGATATGTCTTTTATATGCCGAATTAAAAAAAAAATCTACCAAGAACTCTTACCTTATCCTTTTGAGTAGAGATTGTTTAAAACATCACAGAAAATCTGAGAAACTGTCTGTTTATCTTTGCCAGAAAAATGACTGAAATTTTTGATCAGTTGGGAATCGCAAACAAAAAGCACTGTATGGTGTCCGCACCCGCTCAAAATTTAACTATTTGCATGGTACCGGAAACCAGAATTTTGAATTTTGAGGGATCTCGCTCTTGGACTATTAACCGGTTTTGGCATTTTTCGTTTCTTTACGGGAATGGCTAAAATCACGACTCCAATTTCGACCAGTCAGATGGCTGGATTTCAGAAGTGAGGTATATAAACCCCATTATTCCCCCCCCCCCTTGTTATGTGTGATACAAAATTTGTTGGAAATGTTTCAAAAAATGTTTAATATTTCCATCTTTTTCTCATTTGTGCAGCCACCCATGGAGAATCCAACGATGAGTGATTGGTTGATGCATCTTCAAACTCAGCTCTGAAACGCTCTGCTCAATCAGCTCTCCACTTCATCTATTACTCTATCAATTAGCGCAATCAGTTAAAGAAATTTGGCTCTTGGAGACTGAACCTGGAATAGACTAGGGTACTAACCATTCTTGTACCTGATGGATTTTTGAGCAAGTTACAAGTAGAAATGAAATCATCTTGATCAGGCTTAGATCCTACCCGAATATCCATTGTATTATCACCATCCATCCTTCCTCCCTCCCTTCACACCACCCTTTTCCATACAACCTTTCCCTTTATTTACTCCCTTCTCTCTGCCTCTTCCTTTCTCTTACACTCACGCTCATTTTGACCATTAACACTCACAGACTATGTCACCTTTTAGTAATTCAAACTCTGCTTTCTGTCACTTTCTGTTTATATAACTGCACCATAAATGTCTCAAAGTTTGTTTTCACATCATACGTAGTAGTTGCATTTTTGTCATTATGTGGGGATTTGGAAATGGCTGAAAATATCAATTTTGTTGAGCTGACTTGAGGCATCCAAGATAGATACCTACATGTATAAGATTATGGTCAAGAAGTTCATGATAGGCAATACAATTAACAACTAAATGACTATTCATACCCCTTGTAAATTTGGCGGTTTTTGTTGAATTCGGGCCTTTGTTGAGTACTTATAAATGTAAGTATTTATATGCCAAATTCTCAAGCATCATAAATTGGGACAAATCAATATATCAAGTACCGGTACTTCAAAAATTATATTACTTGGTAAGGGTATGAATAATTTAGTTTTTAACTGATATACACATGTGGTGTAGGCCTTTTGAAGCATTGCCATTGATCTCCAATGCATTAATCATGTACAGGTAATTAAACCTTCAAATACAGTCTCAGGATACCTTTTGATTGAAAAACAGTGGAAACTGGTTAATATGAGGACATTGGGGCTATCAGCATCAGAATTACCTTATCATACCAGGTGTATTTTGTTATATCAGAGCTCTTTATAACAAGTTTCTACTGTAATTCAAAATCATTTCAGTCAGAATAATGGGAAATACAACCTTGATAGCAGAAAATATGTTAAGGTCTAGTTGGAAGTTTGGAACAGAATCATATAAACAGGTTTTTTGAGAGATTGTTCGTGTTGTACACAAGAAACAAATTATTTGATGACTTAAATTGTTCTGTAAATATGTAAATTCATTACCTGCTTTTTTAATGAGCCTGTAAGTATGTAAATACATGACTTAGATATGTTACTAATACCTATCTTATGGAGTGTTCAACGACATAAGCAATTTTTTAGTAATAAACAAAAGAAAATTAATTCCAGAGATTATTTGTTTCTTTATTTTTCCTTCCTCTCTTCAATACAAATTGTGAATTGCTAGCTCAAAAAAAGAGGAAGATTTTTGTTAAAAGCTAGTTTCTGAGCTTTTTGATAAAACATGTTTAAGACATTAATAGTGTACTGAAAAAAACTCACATTGGAATAAAGAAAAGTATACTATTTTCAGAATGTATGATTTTAATACTTAATCTCTGTCCATCACAAAAACAATAACTTCTTCTTATGATCAAGAATCATTACAATCTTTGGAAAAGAAGGATAAGAAATTGTAAACTCAAAATACAGTTGTACAAACAGTTAACATGCTCCAACAGGTGCTCCCTTTTTTCCCTATTCATTCCATTTTCCATTCACAATTTTCTGCAAAAAACCCCCAAACTTTCTTTACAAAATAAGAACTTCTTAAATCCGAGTTCTTTAACATAAACAAAGCTAAACATGAATCTCTAGTTCTCTACACTAATTGTAACTACATTACACTACTTTGTACATCAAAGGAACACAACCACAGGTGACTTTAACGCTAATCTTGAGCTCTGGTTTGGGAATCATATTTTTAGAAAAAAATTGCCATAATTTATTCTGGATTGTCCTGCAGTAAAACGGTTGTTCGAACCAGTGAAATAAAAACTAACGTACATAAACTTACTGGGCATCATCTTTGATAAAAAGAACTCTCCTTTGAACATATTTGGTGTTGGGCCTACTTACCCAGATTTATCTTTCTATGCTCATTACTTTAATAGCCACTTTAAATTTTCTACCAAAATCGTTTGGCACATGTCATTTATTTGTCATTTTGAACAATCAGTGCAAGTTTAGCTGGATTCTGTGAGAAATATTTTCTATATTTACCAGAATTCAAGTTTATCTTTAACATTTTACAAATGATTTCATGTGATAACGGTCATGAGATCTACTTCTAGTATTTTCAGCTGTGATCAAAATTTGGTTAAGCATGTGCATGTGACCATTCATACCACCTGCCACATACAATTAAACCAATGGAAAGCTAAAAGGAAAACATGTCTGAGTTGCTTTCACCAGGGGGTTGCAATGGGGGCTCTGGTTCTGGATGTCCATATGGGACCAGGTACTGGTGTGGTGCAGGCTGTGCCCCCCATACAGACTGAGCAGCGGCAGGTTGCATGGTGTATGGGTAGCCAGGCTGATACTGTGGCTGAGAGGGGTTAACAGTCTGCCATCCACCTAGGGGACCTGCTGCAGGCTGAGGTGCTTGCTGAAGTGGTACCGAGGTTAAACAAACGTGAGAACATAAAGTTAGCATTAAAGGTATTACAAAGTTTTGGTATGGGGTCATGAATTTGGTTCAAATTAACATATTGGAAGCATATGCGTTCCTACAATATTCATTGATCGTTGTCCTGGTTGAAATCGAGTCTAAACTTATGAAATTATAAATAATAAACTCTTTATGTTGTATAGCTCCCTCTCAAGGTCAAGATATTAATTTAGCTATGAAACAATGTTTCTTTACTAAATTCGACCGATTAGCTTTTCCTGTTTGGAATTTATATATCACACCTACATATTCTGAGATTTTCAAGGTCGCAGCTACCATTGTACGGCCATAGGCGCTATTTGAAATTTATCAAAATTTACCGGGAGCACCGGTAAATTTTTATATTCAATTTTTCTCGAAAACAGAAGTGTTTTAGGGGTTAATTTTTTTATTCCTTATAATACATCCACAGGGGCATCAAAATTTATCAAAATTGTAAAGATTCACTATCCACCCAATTTTCAAAATTTCCCAAAACTTTGTATTACCTTTAAAGATACAGGTGAGTTCTGGTAATGCGATTGCATTGTGAAAGAAAAGATGTGGAATGGATCAGAAAAAGTTGATCACATAGAATATAGTATTGGTGTGTACTGTAAGGTTCTGGAATCATCAAAATGACAAGAAATTTGGCCCAGTCTATGTAAAGTTACAAGCACTGTACACAGAAAGATGTATATGGGACTACACAAACATGTGGCATAAATATCTGTCCAGATTTTTATGCTGTTACATGCCATATTTAGGATATTAAGGCATTTGAAGAGCCATACTTTTCAGGGAACATTTTTTATCTGATGTTCTTCCACACTTGCATAATAAAACGATAAGACTCACAAATTATTTTTCACCTCTTCCCAGAACTCAACCTTCTCTTTAGATTAGCATTAAATCTACATGTTTTGTGCAACAAACATCTTTATCAATGGAAAACATGGCATTATCATTTCGATAGACTCCAGTATTGGAACTATGAATATACACAGGAAGGAAAATGTGTTGAGAGAATACCCAATTTCCAATACAGAAGGCCGACTCGTGTCAGATTATGTGATCTTTCATTTCAAACATTTTTTACTCTAAATGCAAAAAGTTTTCAAAAAGTATATGGTACATACAAACTGTATGTATGAACAAAATCATCGACTGTGGCAGTCCTTTGTTGCTCCATTACTCCACAAAGGCATGTACAGAGCTCAATCTTATAATCGCAAGTGTATCACTCACATACTGATCTCATGCCATGTAAACTTTTTTGGGAGAGTGAACATCATTACTTTCATCCCTACTATGGATTTACCCACCTGCATTTGCGGTTGCTGGTAAGTGGGCGGAGGCACCGGCTGTGGCGCCTGCTGGTAGCTGCCCAGGGGTGGGAGGACGTACCTCTGCTGAGGATCGGGCTGGGTAGGAGGGGGGCTACGGGAGGGAAGGGGAGGCATCTCGGCGTCTCCAGGGGGAGGGGGTGGCGGTCCCTCGCTCTCCAAGTGTGGGAAGTCCACCGCCGTACGAGACTGCAGGAGAAATCAAAACAATTCTCTCTGAATTTGGGAAGTCTACAGCTCTTTGAGTGAGACTGAATAGCAAACTAAAATAGATTGATTTCTATAACACAAATAAAGAATCTAGGAATTTGAATGGTCATCGTATATCACCTGGGTCCCATTTCACAAAACTTGTCACGAGTGACAAATGACAGTTTTTGTTATAAGCTAGTGAAGTTCTTGCTTCTGATTGGTTATTAACAGATTTGTCACCGGTTTTTGTCATTTATCATTGAAAAAAATCTTTGTGAAACTGTTCCCTGATCTACGTTATTTACACCATTCTCTGCCCATTTCTCCTACCTGCTAATCAAGAGGGATAATTCTTGTTCAGACATATTGCTCATATGATCATGTTTAATCCATTCACTTGTGTGTAAAATCACCAGTGGACATTCAGCATTCACTTGCAATATTCGCAACGACAACTTCGCAATGTACAGGAAAAGAGGTTTAAAGCCTATCTGCACTAGTTTGGCCAGGAGGGATTAGACCTCCCTGCGTGGTCACCGATAGGTGGTTATCTCATCAAATCAACTGTCAATTAACATAAGAAAAAGAGGACCGTGGGGGAATCAACGGGTACCGCTGAGGCATTGTTGGCTATATAGAGGGTGCAAGTAGCTACAAGTAGTGCAGTCCTGGTTTAAGACAGCCTAGCAAACCACAATACAACTTTCTAAATTTGAGAAGTCTTGTGCCAATTGCTGATACTGCACCAGTAATGGCACCAGCTACGGCATAGGTCTGAAGAAGCTTGTAGAACAGCAAGTGAAAGCCTATTTAAAACATATAATTTTGTTTACCTTATATTTTTTTTTAACATTAAATAACACCAGCTCAGCACTCAAATCTATAATGATCCAAACCTGAACTCTACACAAACAGTTAAACTATGCCTCCAAAAGAGCCATGCATCAATTTAAAATGCACATTTCATGGAAGCGACACCATCTCTAGACGTTAGTGCTTCTAAGAAATGTCTGGATACCATTCTGAGATTCTGAGATTCCATTTGATCTTACCTCTTCTTCTTTTTTCTTGATGTTGAGGAGAGCTTCGTGAAGAGCACTAGAGACCTTCAAGGCCATGTCTGTATCCTCATCAGACTTGGCCAGAGACTTGGACTAGTCAGAAAAAAATGAAAATAATAATAATCATCAGATTAAATGACGTAGAGGATGATCTTTCTCCATTTGTCAATTTATAACCAACATATGTCTACAAGTAAAATTTTACTGAAATATTTGTGTCTTAGTTCTGAAGAAGAACTTAGGCATTGAACTAGCTGGCACCAAATTTTCCTCATTAAAATGAGCTAACATGTGAAACTTACATCTTTCCCTATCCACACATATATCTAATAGAGCATATACAGTGTAATCCTTCTTTGTAGAGAGTCCTAAAGAACTGCACCACCTGATAAAAAGTGGTGATCGATTCAAATCGATACGTCTCTGAACTGAAGAGATAGGAGTTGGAAAGTATGCAACTGATTGGAGGACTTGCGATCAATCAGGATGACAGGATCATTTGCAACTCTTTATAAGATTGGGGGGGGGGGCCTGAAATAGATTAATAATGGGATGTAGACTTACTAGAGCCCCAACCACTTCCTCTAGAACTCTGGATGAAGAAGAAGAAGAAGATTCCTAAAGATATGAAAATTAAATTTCAATAAATATCAAAATGATGAAGCTGTAAAACATTAGGTTAATCATTTTTTACATGTGTGATGCTTCTTTTCCGAATCTAAAAACAAGTTTAATTGTACCAATCACCCAAACAGGTTTTGCTCTCAATGTAAGAGGTACCATGTGGCTACACTGTATTCAAAATAAGAGCTTAAAATTCTACAAGGAGATATTGCAATTCAAATACATTCTAAGTGAACAGTAAAATGTCTATTTGAGTAGACTAGCTAATACACACATACACGCTCGCATAAAATAAGACTCGCAAGTCTGACTTGGGTTACGTGCGAGCCCTATACGCTGAGTTTAATGTTATCACTATTTTTTTCATACTCCTTTAACCTGTTACCTTCAGACTGCCAGGTAACAAAAACAAAAGTTGATTTTATACATTCTAGATACTAACAAATTACTTTTTTCAGCTGATTTGTAAATGTTAAAAATAATCAAGTAAATACAGATTTATTTGTTAGCTACAAAAAGAGAATATATCTAGGGTCACACCAAACTTCACTGGTTTCACATACCTTTTTCCCTAATCTTTCTTCATCACCCATGGACCTGAAAGTCAAAGAGTAAAAGCAAAGAAATGAAATATCGGTTAACAGAAATGTTTGTAAATCTAAGGATCATTTCTATCTCAAACAAAAAAATGGTTACAATCTTTACAATCACAAGCCTTGCTCTCTATCAATTTTAAGAGAATACATACCACTTTGTAAAATAACCAAACAAACAAAAAAATTCACAAAACCATTCCCCCCTCCTCATGGCCAAAAAACCCCTTTATTAGTAAGTGTTTTGGCTGTCCCCATACCATATTCTCTCATGTAGTGCTACCCAATTCAGGAGACAGCAGGGGCCCCGTTTCACAAAGCCTTTTTTTTCAATGACAAATGACAAAAAATCAGTGACAAATCTTCTGATAACCAATCAAAAGCAAGGATTTCAATAGCTTATAACAAAAACTGTTATTTGTCACTGATGACAAATTTTGTGAAACGCCCCCCAGGTGTAAGAAACAAACTTAGTTCTGATGAGAACCCGGTCCTTACCTTGAGGTCGAGGGTCGCTGCTTCTTCTCATACAGGTCCTTCAGATCTTGAGAGACACGTGGGCGATCGAACAACCCCCCTTCGCTTTGGTTTCCTCTGGCTTAGGAGGGGGGCATCCTTTCTCTATGTACGACGCCAGGAAGGGGTCCCTCTCTCGGAGTCGAGAGCGATCTCTCTCCCTCAGCTTCTCTATGTCCACGCTCCTAGCGTCCAGCAGCCTACGTTCTTCCTCACGTTCAAGGGCTTCGTTGAGGGAGCTCAATTCACGCTTCTCTTTCTCTTGCTGAACACTCCATATGAAATCTATCTCCTTCTCCATCTCTTCTTCAAGCTCTCTCATCTTTTGTGACTTTAGAGGTAAACCTGGAAGTGAACCTGGAGAAAGAAGAAGGAATCTAAAACTGGAGGGTGGTATTCTCGAAAGCGGACTTAACAATTATGGAAAGCAGTTAGCGTCATTGAAAATATTTTGTCAAGGTTATTTTAAGGGGCATAAAATGTCGATTCAAATCATGCATATTTTCTATTATCATGGGAGATTTCACGTTCTTGATGTGGAATCTATGAAAAGTCCAAAATACTTGAATTTTTGCTTTTGAATATATTTCATTATAAGGCTACAAGTGGCTCTCCATAATATTTAAGCCCAGCTTAGAGTTAAGTTTGACTTATAATCTTTGTGAAACAGCCCCCAGCTGTGTAACTCACCTAATGGAGGTTCATGATCCGGTCGTCTAGGAGGGGGTCTGGGTGGGGGAGGAAGGGGTCTGGCGACCCTCACTGGCGGCCAGCCAGGCCTTGCCCCAGGTCTCATCATCATGGCAGTAGGAGGGGGTGCATCAGGGGGTAGGTCACTGGGTACCTCGGCCATACCGGGGGGAGGTACATCGGAGGGTTTGTACCCTATGATGGTTGGTCTCTCCTCGACCCTCTCCTTGGGTTTGTTCCTTGAGGCGGGGCGTCTCACTCCACCGATGGGGACAGGGGGAGGGTTTGATACCGGTTTGACGAAATCTTCAGGGTCAAAAGCCTTGAGTTTCACTTGTGAATCTGCCAGAATATAAATTCAAGGAATAATAATAATAGGCATTTATATAGCGCCGCCTATCTAGACAATTCTATTCCAAGGCGCAAAAGAAAAATAGAAAGAATGAGAGAGTTTGGATGAGTGTCATAGTGCCAAGTAAAGGTATTGTTAAAAAAGATGAGATTTCAGCTTGGTTTTAAAGGTCTCTAAGGAAGTTATGATTCTCAAATTAAATGGTAAATTATTCCAAAGAGTTATTTCAAAGAATTATTTCAAAATTGTTGTGAGATGCTTACCGCCTCTCCTGAACACTGATTCAAAGTTCTCCTACTGGATAACCCCCATTCATCCATCCATTTATCTTCTCTCTTTTCTTTTAGCCATATCTCAGATCATTACACCAATAATTCAGAATAGATTACTTTTTTACACTTTTGTGAGAGATCCTATGCAGTAATAATCAACTCAATTAACTCATTAACCCTCAAGCACTTTTTAGTACCGATTATGGGAATTATGTCAACTCTGAATTGGTTTGAGCTTGTTATGATCGGGGAAATTTCCGTTAATCAGAAGGAGCAGGCTATTCCAAAAACTTGGGCTACTAAAGGACAAGTTCTCTGCCAAAGTTTGGCAGGAATCCATCAATCAGTTCTTCAGATAACACAATCACGAGCAGTTTTTGCATACATAATGAGCCCTGTGACCTTTGACCTTGTGACCCCAAAATCTACTCAGTTCATCGGCTCTGCAAGATACATACATGACCAAAGTTAGGCAGGAATCCATCAATCGGTTCATCAGATAACGCGATCACGAGAACGGGACGTACGGACGGACGTACGTACAGACGTACGTACGGACGGACGGACGGACAACCCGAAAACATAATGCCTCCGGCTACTTTGTAACGGAGGCATAAATATTGATTTATTAATTCGCATATTAAGTTGTGAAAACATAATTCAAGTCTACTGACCTAAAATGACCTTTGACCTTATGACATGGAATTTGTGTCATGTGATTTGTGATACTTGATAACCCTTGGGTACAAGTTTCATGGAATTTGAACAATCAATTTTGAAAATATGCTAAAAATTCAAAATCTGGATGTTGATGCCACAACAAAGTCTAAGTTTGTTGACCTAAAATGACCTTTGACCTTAACTTAGTGACCTGAAATATTACTCACATGATTGGGGAGACTTGATTACCCTATAGTCCAAGTTTCATTGACTAAGAACTTAAAATTTCAAAAATTATATAAAAAATTCAAAAACTTAACCTTAGGTTAAGTTTTCGATGATGCCACAACATAGTCCAAGTCTGTTGACCTGAAATGACCTTTGACCTTGACTTTGTGACCTGAAATTCTACTCACATGATTGGGGATACTTGATAACCATATAGTCCGAGTTTCATTGACTAAGAACTTATACTTTTACAATTATATCAAAAATTCAAAAACTTAACCTTAGGTTAAGTTTTTGATGTTGACGCCACCGCCGTCGCCGCTGTCACCGGAAAAGCGGTGCCTATGTCTCGCTTTTTTGCTACGCAGGCGAGACAAAAAGATGTTGTATTGCCCATTACTAGGTGCCAAAACATGGGTCGGTTGGTCAGAAATCTTTTTTTTTGTTACTCCCTCTTTGGGCTGATATTTCTCAGTTTTGAATGCTTAAATACATTTTTTCTCTCTAAAAAACGGAAAAAAAATTATTAAAAAAAAAACTGACTGTAGATTTCACGATTTTCGGGTCGGTCACAAAGGGCAATAAAACATCTTTTTTTTAAGGTCTAATTTCAAGACTACTCACCAGCCCTCATGGTCTTCTTGAGTCTGTTGAGTGGCATTTCGGGTGGGTCTGGATCGGGCCCTTTCGGCATCTTCTGTACTCCGTGTTCCTTCAGAATTTCCCGACAAACCTTCTTCAGGTTGGCCAACACGGCGGTACGATTACGCTTGGGAACGACCTCCAGCACACAACTCCCCCCCTCAAGCTCTTTGTATACTTCCTTTTCTTTGGGTTCCACACGGCACATGTCTTTGGCATCGGGGCGTTTGATTTTCTATACCACGAAAACAAAACAAAACAAAACATTTATTTAAAGAAATGAGTAGAGCCGTGTTATAGACATTCTACATGGAGGGACAAATGAAGATTGAATCGGATTGAAACCAATCATTTATCACCTTCCAGGCATTTTTAAAGTTTGACTGAACTCATTGCCGAAGAAAAGTGAGTGGCTCCTGTATTAAAACCTATGTTAATACAATTATTCCATAGTCAATGGCCCCAATTCACAAAGGAGGTTTAACTTAACCCATGGTTTAAACCTTCATTTACATAACTCACGGTTTAAAAATTAGCGTAAACTAAAGCGTACCTTGCCTTGCACGCGTCTAATATTGGACCTCTGACTGTGTCACGCTTATTTTGCGCTAATTTTAGACCATGGGTTATGTAAATGAAGATTTAAATCCACGGGTTACATTAACTCTTAAGCTGCCACCCCTACAATGCACCCAGTGCCAAAGTGCTAATCCCTATTGTGCCAGCCACAAATCTCCTGTGTGCCTGTGTAAATCTTCACAAAAAACAAATCACTAAATTACTCGAGAAAATTCAATCTGACTATTGTATACGAAGACGCGTAATCCAAAGCCGATAATCTGATGCACGCGATGGTACTTTCAATAGCGCTGCAAAAGCACTCAGCACGGTGCAATGGGCATGAACAATGACTGTTATTACATATGCGCCCTTGCGTGCACAAAGCAGAGTAGCGGTGGCTCGCTAGCATGAACGTGGCATTCAATCGATAGCGCGCTCGCGTGCACAGAGCACTATAACAATAGCGCGCTAGCGGTCTCATGGCAAGATATGAGTTAAGAGTCAAGTGAATAAACCTGCTTGTATGAACACACCTTCATGATGCAATGAACTTACAATGTAACCATAACGATGACGGTAGCCTGTGACATGGGGCATAAAGTTGACTTGTTGAAACTTTGCCTCACATAGGGTGCAGTAGAAATAAGCCTCGGTCTGCCATTCTTGTCTGAGGTATTCTATGATCATTTCAAGTCCTATGTTCAAAGAAAGATGAAAGAATGATTTACAATTAAATACAACTCACTCCCAGATCCTAATCAAATGATTGGTCAAACATGGTCACAAGTCGTCGCCTGGGTGGCAGAAGGGCGTCAGCTCGAATTTCAGGTAAAAAATGAAACATTAAGCAGAAGGGCGTTAGCACTAAATCGCCTCAAACTTTTATGAAACTAACTGAAAAAAATTGTGGCCATGTTCTACTATAACATTTATATTAGTCTTTTAAGTTTTAAACCAATTTTCCGGACGGAAAGAAGTTTAAATATAAAACAAATATTTAAATGCGAATACTTCGAAAAATAGTTTTCGAGTCGCTCGTACGCTAACGCCCTTCTGCCATCCAGCCAACGAAAAGATTAATGTACTGAGACTATCCCATATATGTTTCCATGGAAAAGCATGCACTGGTTTTCAGTACTATCCAATGATTTTTATAACTGTTATAATGTAGCTTCCCATTACCTTTCAAACTGTTTGGTTCACACATGGCCCTCCATACATTTGGGGGTTTATTAGACCAGTTCACAGTTAGCACATATCCCAAATGACCCTGAATATCTACAGATCTTCAAAACATGAAGAGGTCCCACTTTGTACATTTAGAAATAATCACTCCTACAGCTATGGAGGTGCTACATAAATAACCTTTGTTTCCCCTTTTCAAAGAATACTTCCAACCTGTGTAGCATGGAGTCCACTGCTTGTGCATGAATGAATAATGATTACATAAATTTCATGAGTTCGTATCCAGTATTTTGTCTCTGTGAATTTCACAATTATAATTTTTTTTTTTTTTAAATATTTTTTTATAATAGCTCTATACAGAGCGAATTTATTTTCCATTTCTTTTTCACATAATATAAACAATAACAAAACAATAATAAACTTAATGGTATAACAGAAATAAGCAATGAAATATCTTTGACATTGTTTTTTAGTCATTGTAATGCAAAATGATTTAATTACAAGAAATGAAAAAAAACGAACCTACTTGAAAGCAAAGCTCGTTAGATGTAGGTTCGCACAATAATAATTATACTTTATACATTTATAACTTAATTTTGAAGAAAAATTACGGAATAAAAAAAAACATGACATATAATAGAAAAACAAACAATTAACGAGACAAAAACAAATCAGAAACATTAGCAGAATGACAAGATGATGATGATAAATGAAAAATATAAGAATGAGAGAGTAAAAACAGAAAAGCGGGAAGACATGCAGGAAGATAAAAAGAAGACAGAGAGAGGGGGTGAAGGGAGACAGAGAAAGAGACAGAGAGGGAGAGGGGAACTACTTATTCTGATTCGTTTGCAACAAAAAGTGCTTGAAACCACTTAATGATTTGCAATGACCTTTATCTGCTCATGCTTAGACTGCAACTATGAACTGGCTTATCAAAGCAATATGGAGAAACATGTTAGTTCACCTAACATAATCATGTTTTTGACAACCATAAACGATTTCATTGAGATAAAAACTTACCAACCAATGGTTCTTTACAATTGTCTATGATCGGTTGAATCGCAACAATCTCCTCTCCCGTAACAGAAATCTTCTTCTTCTTCGCTCGGTTCCCTTTGTTTCTAGAGCCTTTGATAACATCCTCTGCAAAAAAGATGTCAAGCATTAATGTACGAGACACCAGGGGCCTGTTTCATAAAACTTCTTATCTATAACAACTGCTAAATTTCTATGACAAATTTGTTCTCAGCCAATCAGATGCCATGATTTCAGTAGCTTATAACAGTAGCTTGTAACTTGTTATTGATATCAAGTTTGCTCTCAGCCAATCAGATGTCATGATTTCAGTAGCTTATAACAGTAGCTTGTAACTTGTTATTGATATCAAGTTTGCTCTCAGCCAATCAGATGTCATGATTTCAGTAGCTTATAACAGTAGCTTGTAACTTGTTATTGATATCAAGTTTGCTCTCAGCCAATCAGATGCCATGATTTCAGTAGCTTATAACAGTAGCTTGTAACTTGTTATTGATATCAAGTTTGCTCTCAGCCAATCAGATGTCATGATTTCAGTAGCTTATAACAGTAGCTTGTAACTTGTTATTGATATCAAGTTTGCTCTCAGCCAATCAGATGTCATGATTTCAGTAGCTTATAACAGTAGCTTGTAACTTGTTATTGATATTGAGTTTTATGAAACAGGGCCCAGGTCCATGCAATGAATACATAGTTTGGCGCGGACAAAATGCCATGGTTTGTGAAGGATAGCTGTAAGCACCATAAAGGAGATTTTTTCTTTCTTTCTAGAATTATGCCACACATTGTAGAGCTAACGATGATAAAAAAGGACCATATACTAAATTTGTTAGACCCAAGTAAAATTTGCTGCATAAACCACATACATCGAGAACTTATCTGCTAAGTGCATGTAAGGTCACCCAAAGTGATGCCATGCAAAAACCTTTAAATGCCACATAGCTGAAATTATATTTGGGTGATAAGATTTTGAACATTTTAAAGTTTCTGCCCTACTTGGCAGTATTATAAAGAGTCATATAGATCATGGACCTACTACTACTTCTACTTTGTAGACTCTGTAATTTTCAAACAGATGCTGTCATTGCATTCTAATTAGCTTTGAGTAGACTAGTCGATGCACTGCCATAATTACCAATAACTGATACAAATGAAAAAGACATTGATTCATAAATGCGTTTCCTTTTCTTGCGATCCAATGACAGGAAATTAACATCACTAGTGTTAAATCCCCCTTGGCGCTTGTCATCCACATTGTGTTACTGACGTATTACTGACCTGTATATATAAACATTAGAACTGTAGCATGAAGCATGTTCTTCATACTACAAATCTATTGCTCTTTAGACTCTCTGCATAATTCTCTGCACATCAATTAGCCTTTATTCAAGAAGGGGGTTTTAATATCCGAACACTTGGCTGTACCATTGTGTTCTCATATCAAATGGATAGACAACATACAATTATTTCACTCCATAGTGAAGGCTTGGAGAAAGACTATCAAGGAAGTGAAACGTCCAATCCTACAATCCTACAGGATGATGATGATGATGATGATGAGGATGAGGACGATGACGGTTGAAACTTTGGTTGAAACCATGGTTCTAAATTTAACTCCATTCATGAATTCAATGATGTTGTCCTCCCCTGTAAAACTTAATACACTCTGGCCCAAATTCACAAAGGAGGTTTGTTGACAAACCGAGGTTTATGTACGTCATATGACGCGTTTTGACGCGTTTTTTACAAACCTGGTTTGTAAAAACGCGTCATATGACGCACAAAAACCAAGGTTTGTTGACAAACCTCCTTTGTGAATTCGGGCCTCTATGTTTGTTTTCTCATGGTGACTGATGTCATCTAGGCCCCTGGAAAGTTTCATACTTAAAAACTTTCCAAAAACGTTTGATGTACAGTATGTCATCGTTGTGCCTTACTATGTGAAGTTTGTATTCCATATATGGTGTTCTAACGGCATTATACATGAGACATGTACATCATACATGTAACAACAGGAACCCTGTATACGTGTAGCAAAGCAAGACACATAAAGCATCCTCATCGTCTTCTGACCCGTGTTTGGACATTAGAACTTGTAGTATGAAGGCTGTTCTTAATGCTACAATTCTATTGCTCGACAGACTCTCTAAACCGCTCTGTTCACATTCACGTTGTTAAGCCCCTACTGACTGACTATGAATTACATTTTCAATCTTTTCAAAATCAAGTGAATTATGTTTCATATGAATGTTGCTGCTGTTAAGATTGAATAAATACACTCTTTCATGGTTACAAGAGTGCGCAAGACATAGGCGCCATTTTAATTTACGTGTAAAGTTACTTGTAATTTAAAATGGCGCCAATGTCGATATGATTTGAGCACAGGCAGTGACGCAACAATACATGCGCATCTGAAAACATTGATAACGCAATGTTTATGCGCAAATTAAAATGGCGGCCTTAACCGTGAAAGGGTGTATTACTATATGTGATCGCAAAACATCAATAACAGAACTCACTTGAATTTGAAAGAATTCAATACCCTAGCTGTACACCAGACAACTAAGAATATGAATGTTGTCTTGAACAGTGCCAGTATTTGCAAGTTCATGTGTTTTACATACTGTTACCCAAGTAACAGTACAAAACCAAATGATATTCTGACATATTTACCAGACTTGAATAGACTTTAGCATCACTATAAATACATCCATTCTTTTGTCACGATTCCCTTCAGATAAATTGCCCTCATCCATGCTCGTCTTACGGTAAATTCTTCACCAGAGTGACAAAGATTGAAGCAGACTTGAGCCCAGACATCAGCCCTTGGCCCCATCTTACAAAGAACTTTGCAGTCTCCTATCTCTTATGTACAAAGTTGCGATTGATATCAACCACAAATATGTTGCGATTGATATCAACTCTTTGTAAGACGGGGCCATTACGCTAGATTACGTGAGATTTCTGATCTCGATACTTACCACCCTTTTCCTGCCGCGCTATGTTCTGCAGAGGAGAGGGGAGAGAAAGGAAGAAAAATAATGAGCACATGGAACATGTCAAGACTGTTATACTTCAAAGTAAAGACAACCTCAATATGGACAGTCATTAAACTGAAGCAGTAGCAAAAAAATGTCATTGCCACGACCCCAGTTACTGACCTAGATACTGATTAAAGGCCGGCTCACACAATGACGAATAGGGGGGTACCGCAAGCTACGTTAAGCTGAAAATTGCAATATTGAATTTCCCGCCAATCATCCTGTGTTGCCTTCAATTGTTGCTGACGACTCCGCTAGCGACCGCAGACGGTCAAAATTGTCAGTCGCGTCCATCGGCAAATTTACAGTGTGTTGATAATTTTGTGGCGGCAAAACGTCCGTCGCCTTTCGCAGGGTCTTTGCCGCTCCTATGTGAGTCGGCCTTTACTGAATGAAGTCTGCGGATTTCTTAGAAGGCAAACTTTAGCCGATTTGATGCAGCCAGTTGTATGTGCTGTATGCTGCTCGTTAAGACCTCTATTGATGAACTTGATCATTTATTTAGAACAGTAAAAACAGCGATATTGTATATTGCCATTGAAACTGTTAAAAATCATTCATTGGCAAAGATTGGATATCCCTACAAAGCTTACAATACAAGTATGTATTAAATGCAAAATCTCTCCAGTTTATTGTACATGAGGAATATTTTGTTTATAAATCACACATCTACCTTTTATATCTCTAAAGATATGAAAGGCAAACAATTGATATATCAAACTAGTTTGCATACTGTATAATTTCACAAACCAACTCTTTTGTTTTGTTCTTCATTCTGCCATCAGAGGTGATCTCCATAGAATATATTATTTGACAAATAAATGCTTCTCTTTAAAAATCAATCTTTCATTTCCTAACAGACATGAAAGATAGTTTTCTAAATATTGACATATATTGATCATCTTGGATTGATATCCTGCATAGTAAGCAAATAACTACCGTTGGTGAAGGTGATGGAACAAACTATCACTTCCGAGGCGATCTGGATGTAGCTATCTTTCCGAAGCGAAGCTGAGGAAAGATAGCATATACATTCAGATCGCCGGGGAAGTGATAGTTTGTCATCGCCTGAAACCAAAAGGTGATTATTTGCTTTATATTCCACATCGGAAACATTTCACTTCTTCCGTCATTTAAGAGCAGCAATTCATCAGTTAACAGCTAACAAACGGTGTTTGATACGTACAGTGCATGCAGTATGGTGGTGTGACCATTTAGTTCCCGCATGACCAACACTAAAAGCGCTTGAAGAGGAGAGCAATACGCAGCGTATACAATCAAAGTGCCTTGCACTGGGAAGATAGTGCTTCTATCTTCAGTTAAAGTGCGTTGCACTGTGTAGATAGTACTACTACACGTATCTACACAGTGCAACAAACTTTTCTTCTCCCATCAATGATGGGCGAACTATCTTTCATCACATGATTTACTTTTGACCAATCGTAGAGCAAGATTCTTAGTATGTGGAATATAAAATAAGATATCACTACGCGCTTTTCTACACTGTTAATGCTCTAGTCCATTACACATCCTTTCACACCCCTTCACACTAAAAACTACTGCAGCAAAATAATATGACATCACGGTAGTAGATTTCACATCTCTGAAGATTGAATATCTTGCAACATACAGAAAATTGAGTACACTTAGGGTCTTAGTTGAACACAGCTCATTTCTATCACTCCCTCTGAACCTTATACACACATAAACTGGTTTTATTCTGCCACAGTGGTTTTCTAAGCAGTTTAATGTGTCAAGTGTGAATGTGCTTTTATTGAATATGTTTGTGACTGCACACTTTCTTGTTTCAAAATCACTGCTCAAATAAGGCTTGTCCAGGTATGATATGTACCAGTAGCAGGATTTGTTTTGCATGAGAAAAAAAGAATGGCAGCTGCGCGCAATGAAGGTCATGCGTGTATTCACTGAGCTATGTGAAATAAGTTAAAGAAATGTGAAGCATATCACACTTCACAAATCACCACAGTATGTGAAAAAAAACCTTCATTTGAGTGAAAACATTTAGATTGTTACAACATATCTAGAGTTACAGCAAATCTAGAGTTACAGCACATCATAAGCTTCCTTTTTAATACTTACCTCATTCATAACTAGTTCATTCAATCTATCCTCCAAATAAATGAAAAATTAAGTGAACAATAACAAATATATTGTGCAATTTTCACCTCTCAGGAGGACTGAATTTTTTTTTTGAAGGGGGGGGGGTGAGTTTGTTACTCCTAATCTTATCTCTAATATTTTTCAAAATGATCTTGATCATGTTTTGCTTCCCCACATCTCTTTTTGCTCATAAACTTTCATTGCTAATCAAAATCCTGTATCTTTGAAAGATTTTTGTGTTAGTGCACTAAGTTACTTACAGCCTTGTGCCTCATGCCATCATTGTGCATTGTCAGGTTTTCCTCACTCGTTGTCTGTACATCACATAGCTGTAAAAGACACACAATCACAGTTCATTGATGTTGGTGCTAAAACATGCTTAAAATTCAAAGAATTCAAAATAGTGGGGTACACAGATAATAAGGCATACAGTGTGTGGTTGAATACTGCATATCTTAAAGCCTATGTGCACTAGTTTAGCCAGGAGGGATTAGACCTCCCTGCATGGTCACTGACAGGTGGTTATCTTATCAAATAAGCTCTCAATTAACATTAAAAAAAGGGGACCATGGGGGCCAACAGTCACCAATTAGGCATTGTTTGCTATATAGAGGGTGTAAGTAGCTACAAGTAGTGCAGTGGGGCTTTAAAGTTCCACTTTTCCCCTGAATTAAGAGCCTAGTGTCTCAATTTTAATATCATTCACACAAAAATCAATTGCTCAATTACCTATCAATTTTTTGTTTTCATTAATAATCTGTGTATGTGTCGGGGAAAGGCCAAAAGAATACCAGACATGTAGATTCAACAACAAACAGAAACCCACTCCATGGAAGTGCCTAAATAGTAACTCCCCAAGGAAGATTTAGATCCCCTTTATGAATTTCTCATACAATAAAGCAAAAACTTGGGATCTCATCTACTTCCTGAGAGAGAGAAATATACACAGATAAAAGTGTGTGAGAGAGAGAGAGAGAGAGAGAGAGAGAGAGATTGACAGAGAGAGAGAGGGAGGGGTAGAGAATTAGAGAGGGAAGGGGGGGGTGAAAAAAGTATACAGGTAAATATAAGACTTACCGCACAGTGGAATTTTTTCATTCTGTCTTCCAGCGTCAGTTCTTCCTCTTCTTCCCATTCTTCTTCTTGGTATTCCTCTTCTTGATAATCCTCTTCAAGTCTTGCTGGATCCTCATCTGAAAAGATTAATTGGTATACGCTGATATTATACAAGTATGAAGACTCTGTAATACACAGCCCACAGTGAATATACACAATCTCTGCAATTTAATAAAAGCCCCACACGGTGACACCTATATTACATCATACACTGTGATCATAATCAAATGGTGGAGCCTCAAGAAGGATCTGCATACATCCAACATGCACACCAAAGAAGAACCACAAATGTATGTGCAACACAGTCGTACCTATAGTGCTACTTTTTTTGTCAATAAGTTTGAAAATGAAGGTTTGCGAGACTCTACAACCCAATCAAAGCATCATATGAATCTAACACACAATCTAAAATGTTTTCATGGAATCAAAAGTTGTTGTTTTGGGTGTTAATCTCACAATCGACAACCTGATCAGATTGATCTAACATTTGTGATTCATTACGTTCAAAACAGAGGAGCACGGCTAGAATAGCCTGTCATTTGTCCGAGAAAATTTGGTAAAAGTCCCCTCCCTCTAGCCTTGGATGCAACACCCCCGCAAAAGAACCCTCATCTTTTATTTTATTGGGTTTGCGTGATGTTCCGGTGATTGCAACTGTTTTTAATGTTACACATAAAATGGGTTTCGGAATTCTATTACAAGTCATTTGTTGAACAAATCATGAATGAAATATCAAGTTAAATAATCAATATGTACACAAATTGTATTTATATTGTATCAGTTTGAATATTGTAAGACATTGTTAAGTATTAATACTGGTATCTCTTAAAGTACCGATTGTGCAGGTAAATTCATTATATTTGTTTTGTTACGTTTTTTAAACTGGTTTGTACCAAAAACATTTTGTTTAGCTGTGGGGTTAGGCTCGACTATCACTCGGTTAATATCTGACCACTTTTACCAACCAATAGTATCTGTTCTATATGTAAACATATTGTATGAAATGTATTGTATTGCAGTTGGTAAATCAAATCAAATCAAATTCAATGTGGCAAAAGCTAAATGGTACAGCCCACAGGCACATGTATATCCAGATTAACCATTTTTATTTTCATAAAATCACTTGACTTTCTAATTTAAAACATATTTATGCCAAACTTTTGTCACTCTGATTGTATTGGAATCAATCAATCACTGAACTTCTTAGACTACAATAATAATACAGAGAATGTAAACAAAAAGAAGCATAATAAATACCTGGAAAAACTTGAGCCCTCTGAAATCAAATGATATAAAGAAAAAGACAAAAGCGATTACATACCAGTAATTTCACATTCATTACAATTTTGCACAAACGTATAGTAACTAGAAAGCCAAGCTGCAAATATTTTTTTTCCACAAAAAAAAAAAGGCTCATTTTCAATTTAGCAAATTTATTGCAAATAACGTGCCTTTTCATTTTTCTTTTCATTTGTTTACATTAAATATTTGATATTTCGTTTAAAAACATAAGTTATAAAGGGCAATCTTTTGTATGAAATGACTTGTTAATTTCTTATCAATTATGTTCTGGGGCCCGTTTAATAAAACTTGTTATCTATAACAACTGCTAAATTTCTATGACAAATTTGTTCTCAGCCAATCAGATGGCAGGATTCAGTAGCTTATAACAGTAGCTTGTAACTTGTTATTGGTATTGAGTTTGCTCTCAGCCAATCAGATGGCAGGATTCAGTAGCTTATAACAGTAGCTTGTAACTTGTTATTGATATCAAGTTTTATGAAACAGGGCCCTGGTCATGCAATAAGACTTTGAAAGAAACTGTCTGGAAGCAATTTGGAAGAGTTCAATTAGTAGTACACAAGATTTGGTTCGTACCATGAGGTGCTGGATTGAACGATAAGAACTCAATCTTGATGAAAACACATGTACTGCACACAGATATGGGTAAGTGGGACTACACACACAAAAACACATGTGGCCTGACTGTTTGGTCCAAACATTTAAGCTAATACTTATCATGATTTAAATTTGAAGGCATTTGCAGGGGACATTTCTATTATGGCGTTCTTCCAATCCAAATTAAAAACAAGAGATTATTTTTCAAATCTACAAGATCTCAAACTTCTTTTTAAATCAGGGGGGAGTTTCACAAAACTTGTCATCAGTGACAAATGACAGGTTTTGTTATAAGCTAGTGAAATCCTGGCTTCTGATTGGTTATCAGCAGATTTGTCACTGACTTTTGTCATTTGTCATTGAAAGAAGGCTTTGTGAAACAGTACCCTCCAGGAGTACTCACCATCTTGTGGGTCACTCCTGCCAGATGCTCTCTGTAATTTCTAGGTCCACCGCATTTCACATTGCATAACTGTAATAGAAAATCATAAAGGGTTGTGACCACAGACACACAATATAATATACAAAAATTAATAATAACAACAGGTCCATTCATAAAGTGCAGCTACTATACGAAAAATGTATGAGGTTAGGGCTAGGGGTGCTAATTGGCAACTACAGTAGATCAGAGTTACAATGTAGGATTAAAGTTCGGTATACTGCATAGTCCAAGTTTGAAGTTTGGAAGTGGCTACATGTAGTGTAGGAAAGCATCACTAAACAATCGTACTACCTTGTAGAACCCAGTCACTCTAACCCACTGTCTATCGTCTGGTTCCCGTATCAAAGCTTTACTGGGAATAAAAGAATTCATTAGTAGGCGGCCTGTTAATACCTACCATACAGGTGTACCGAGCCGCAATCTCTTCAAGCGTCATCGGCATCTCTTCTTCCCACCATTCCAGCTTTCGTCCTCCTTTACTGGAGCCATCTCTGTCTTTGCTAAAGCTATACCGAGATATACCCCGTTCTCCACTACGATCTCTGTCTCGAAACTCTCGATCTGGTTCTCTGTTTTTACGGCTTCCATCTCTTCGATCATCCCGGTCCTCTGCACCCTTCTCACGAGTTCGACTGCTGGAGCTATCCCGATCTCTACCCCTACCTCGTTCTCTGCTATGATCTCTGTCTCGATCTGGTGCTCTGCTACGATCATCGCCTTGCTCTCTTTCGTGGCCACGGTCACCATGTCGATCCTTTTCTCTGTTCCTTACATCATCTTGATTCCTTCCTTTACCGTGATCTTCGACTTTCCCTTTCCCCATATCAATGCTTCTCTTTGGAACACCATCTTTGCCACGCCCCTTTTCCGGACCTCTTGCCATACCACTCCTCTGGTCTTTATCACCAACCTGCCCTGCATCTACAGGGTGTATATCATACATTTTAGCTTTGTTACGATGTCTCTCAACGTCATTTTGTTTGCCACGGAACTCTTCACTCCTGTCGTGATGTTCATCATGGTGCCTTCCCCTACCACTTCTACCAATACCAGGGGCACTTCTCTCATGGTGTTCATCATCTCGTCTACCCCTGCCCCTTCCAACATCAGCACTCCTCATATCATCATGCCTACCTCGACCAGATCCCCTCCCACTACCGGCTCCTCTCGCAATCCCAGATCCCCTTCGAATACCGGCTGCCCTGTCATCTCTGGGTTGCTCAATAGCTCCTACCGGTATATTATCCCAACTTATGTCGGCCGTCATCCAGTCATCTTTTCCTCTGTTTGTTTCCTGTGGTTGGTCTTCCTCTCCCACAGGTGGCCAGGATGTTGATAAACCATGTTGATGTGATGATCTTGCATCGTGGTGATGTGATGATCTTGCATCGTCATAATCCTCCTGCCAGCCTCCTCCTCCTCCTCGTTTTTCTCTATAATCTTCCCTTGGATCCATCTGCCCATGTCTCTCTGGCTCTGGTCTGCGCAACCCTGGATCTTGTTCCCGCCTTCTTTCATCTTCCTGTCTTCTTTCATCTTCCTGTCTTCTTTCATCTTCCCATCTTCGAAAGTCTTCCAAACTTCTACCTTCTTCCCATCTTTGATCATGTTCCCAGCTTTCTCTCCTATCGCCTCCTCTGCCGCCTCCTCTGCCTCCTCCTCTGCCTCCTCCTCTGCCTCCTCCTCTGCCTCCACCTCTTCCTCCTCCTCTTCCTTCTCCTCTACCGCTTCCTCTTCCTTCTTCTCTAACGCCTCCTCTGCCCCTTCCTGTTTCGTCACCTCTGCTTCTCTTACCTCCCCTAGAGAAAAGCTCCGTCTCTTTTGCTCGTTTTCTCCTGCATCCAAACCCTGAGAACACAATCAAGAAAACAAAAGTAACATGTTATTGCAAAGAATTTACCATCTCAGCTGCTATCATCAAAGATGAACTTTAATTTATTATTAGAATATGGAAAACATGGCACACTCACTTCAGGCTAACCGGCGGCAATGTATAAATTAAGTCTTTTTGTTTTGCAATTCTTTATTTTAAAATTCTATGATTGGCAATCTATAGAAAATCAGGCGCTACTTCAAAAGTCTATCCACACTTTGACCCGTAACTCTGGCGTGGTGATACCCTACTAAAACATACCGTAAATCGACATCTTCACCAATTGTTCAAATAATGTTCATGATTTAAAAGTTGTTAACTCATTATGTTTCTTAGTTCTTACCTGTTTCGTGTCAATTTTCTTATCTTTTTTGGAGGATTTTTCCTAAAAACAATGACTTATAATATACACTTTCTCACAGGATTCACAGCAAACTACTGCACAATACAATTGCATACCATACCGACGGTGGGGTTAGTGAAGAATTAGTGAAGATTTAGTTGATTTTCGGTATGTTTTAGTAGGGTATCTCCACGCCGGAGTTACGGGTTAAAGTCTGGATAGACTTCTGAACTAGCGCCGAACATCATCTTAAAACAAACAACAACAAAAATCTTTGTAAAATTTGTTTTGACTTTTGGTCTAAAAAAAAGTTAAATGTTCAACTTCAATTGATATGGACTGGTCTTGGTTACTTGGCTCCCGCTCTCACACCTCTCTTTCCGACTGGATCAACCCCTCGCTCTTTCACAATCTCTCTGCTCAGTTCATACTAGACCAAATTTTCCGTCTCTTTCGTTCGTTAAGCCTCTTATTTGGGTAGGGCCGGTTCTCTCTTTAGAGACGGAAGCCGACTATACGCAGTCGTTTTCAAACACCTAGGCCATTTATGGCCATATTTTTATGCCCCCAAATTTCATTTTACCTCGTGCATATCGGATTATCCAATTTATATTATATTGTAAATAAGGCCTAGGCTATAATTAGTGCTGTAGTCAAACGTTTAACCGTCCGGTATCCGACCGCCCATGGCGGATTCCGTTTTCAATTGGACGGTTTCGTTTTCCCGTTTTTTTATTTTTTATTTATTTTTTTATATTTTTTTTTTAAATATTTTTTTTGTATTTTTTTTTTTTTTTTGATTTATGCCCCTCCACCTGGCACTATGCCTGGCAATGTTTCCCAGCTTAGTAATCGGTGTGTTGACTCACCACTCTGAAACTAGAACGAAACTCCAAATTGTCTGTCATCTTGGTTTGAAAGTAATCTTTGTAATAGATCTCAATATGTAGTTTATAATAATAATTCATCCAATTTTTACACAAGGTGTACCACAAGGTTCTATCCTAGGTCCTCTACTGTTTTTCATTTACATTAATGATCTTACACATTTTTCTAAAAACGACATTGTTACTATTATATGTGACAAGTTCACAAGTACAAATCGGCGCCTATAATTGAAAGTCCTACCCGCTTTTTCAAACGGACCTGGCTTGTCGGCAAAAAAAAAAAAAAATAAATATTATTTTAAATCGTTTAACCGAAAACCGTCCGGTTTCGACTGGCGGTTAAACGGAATTGGAGATATCCGTGATGTTACAGCACTAGCTATAATACATCGGTTCCACTTTAATACCAACTTGACTGAAATAATCTGTTTAATGGTCCCTTTTTAGGAAATTATGGGTCAAAATCGACATCCATATTGTAAATCTTGCAAGACGTATTTTTACTCTTGTTGCGCATGACGTCATCTAAATCTCATCCCTTCTAGTCTACGCCGAAGGCAATATGATATGAAGGAAAAACTGCGCGCGAGCTACACCTTCGTAATGGTGTTTGAAAACGACTGCGTATAGTCTGCTTCTGTCTCTAAACATTGCAGTTCTCCAAACTGGAGGTAGCCAAGCAAAGTGAGTTTGGCAATTAATAAGAAGAAGGTCTACTTTTCTGCTCCCATTTCATTTGCCATTCAGTCTTTACTAGACCTTACTAGATCTAGACCTTGTAGATCTAGACCACAACACGAGCATTCATTCAACAAATGCAAAACCTACCTTAAATTAAGCCTTAAAAGTAGTCTACATACATAGTCTATGACATTGTGTATGATTGTAGGATAACAATAATTGGAAAGATATTTGTGGAGCTGGAGCATACCACTCCAGCAAAGCATACAAAGAGAGTCAATGATAATGCGTATTCACCTTTAGCACTGCACTACGTGTTAATAGGCAGCATTTGAATACATGAATAGTCAATACACTCATAACACACAAATGTACATAATTATGCCGATGCGGCTGATCGGCAAGTTGGACAGTAGACTTACAATTTGAATTTTTAAATTATTCTTTCTAACATCGGTAAGTTAACAAAATTGTATTTTACTGCTATTTAGGTATCATCAATTGTCACTCAAGTACCGATTTTGAGTGAAATCAGTTGAGTTTTGTACAGTGGTGTTTGAAATGTTGAGAATCAATAGCACAGCTTTTAATACACAGCCAGGATAGTAATGCAGCTATGAATTTGTGTGGAGCGTAGGCCTACCTTCATTCATCCAGCTCATATCATCGCCATAGTTGGATTGATGAAGATTCTCCAGCCCTCCTCCTGGAGCTTGGTGCCACCCTGTCATATCTGCCCTGCCAACTTTACGCCAAATTAAATCATTCAATCTGTGAGAAGACCTTGACAGATGAGATTATAATTGCCTATGTTCATACTTTGTGCATCTGCATGTGTACCACTGATAGCCAGCGCTTCGTTCAAACTGGCGACCAATAAGGAGAAAAAAAATATCCACCAACAATGGGGCCTATAGTGTCTCTAAATCGTACAATCAAAAAGGAAAAAGAAAATTGTGCACGTGTCGGCTGACGGTAACGGCGATAGGATAAATAGATTAGATTTTGATGTATTAAACACTATCGTATGGCATTTAAACTAAAGAATGACTGACACCATTTGAAATGTGATATTATATTCGTTACTCTCATATAATTCATACCGAAGCAATTTGTCTGGGTCTTACTGTTTCAGATTGAGTCTAAGGATCTACAAGGCATGTTATACGGGGTTTATCCGGGCATTTCGAGTATATAATTGGACAAAATGCGTTATACATTGAAAGCAAACTGAATAATTACCCCCGGGGTAATCACTGACACCATTTTGAAAGGTGACATTTTACTCTTTACTCTCATATATGTCACATGCCGAAGCAATTTGTCTGAGTTTTACTGTTTCAGATTTAATCTAGCATATACGGGATTTACGGGGTTTATCCGGGCATTACGAGTATATAATTGGACAAAATGCGTTTTATACTTTGAGGGCTTAAACTATCGTATGATATTTTTACTAAGTAATCACTGACACCATTTAAAAGTTTAGATCCTATTCTTTACTCTCCTATATTATTTCAGATGCCGAAGTAATTTGTCTGGGTCTTACCATTTCAGATTTGGTCTAGGGCTCATACACGGGCATATACATGCAGGGTTTATTTGGGCGTTACGAGTATTATTGGACAGAATGCGTTGTGCTTTTAAAACTATCGTATAACATTTTAACTGAATAATGACTGACACCATTTTGAAAGGCGAGAATTTACTCTTTACTCTGATATTTATGTCACATGCATGCCAATTGCCAAAGCAATTTTTTTAAAGATCTAATCTAGGGCTAAAACCGGCATACGGGTTTACAGGTTTATCCGGGCATTGGACAAAAATGCGTTTTATACTTGAAGGCTTTGAGTAACTCGGTAACATTGTTGAAGGTTGATGAAAAAAATTGCTATTTGTATATCATGTTACTTACTATATTCCTTTTACTGTACTAACCCTCTGACATGCAACAAATCCTGAAAAAATTCTCAAACCACGAAGATATCTATGGTTTTCTTTGAAAAGGTCGATGTATATGACACCCTCAACAGTAACAGTGATTAACAGTAAATTTTCCCAACCATTTCGAATTTCCAAACCGTTTTTCGGCCGTTTTTCCATGAAAAAAAGACATAAACAGGCCATAAAAAAATCTGTCAACACCGAAATGTCTGGAATTGAATGTAGAGCCATTTTTTGCTTTGTGACGATTTCCATTCACCCAAAATGTAATTAAATTGTAATAATATAGTTGGAAGAATTAAGGAATCGATAAGATCAGTTTTCCCCTATTTGTACCATGAATATTGATCCGTTTTCACTCAAATTTTCAGATTATCTTTAATTGTACATCTAGCATTGAGGGCACTACCTTAGCACCACTATATCTCATCTAACAATGTTACCAAGTCCCTTTAAAACTAACTATGACATTGGAACTAAAAAACGGCTGACACTATCAATTTTGAAATCTCATAATTATGTCACATCCAGAAGCGATTTGTTTTATTTTAGTGTGCCATAATTATTTTTCTGTTTTGTTGTAGTAAAATCGTGCTTACTATTTTGTTTGTTGGCGGTGTAGAGGAATATAGCATGCACGAAATCGATTTCTAATCATATCAATTCCTTCGCGCTCCTTTTGGGAGATCAACCGACCCGCGCGCATTTTATATTACATGACATATGGTAAAATTCTCGACATCTTTTTACACTTTTCTTTACCATTAAAAATCGAAATTGAGAATAATATCCTCAATCGAGATATGAGAAGAAGGAAACATTTCCTTTACATTCCATGTAAAACCATGCCCTTACTTGAAAAAAAACCTCCGTCACTTTGACGTTGAACTTTACAATCCATTTAAAAAAAATTACTCTCTCATACACAATGTCAATGGATCGGTCGTACTGTGCTCGATTGCCTTTCAATAAACCAATCTTTAACTTTGCAGCAACGCGTTTTGCGTCAAATTTGTAAATCCTCAATCACAGACAATGACATATGATACGTAAGCTTTTCATACATATAAATTTCATTTTGATTGATTCATTTTTAGCTCCGTCATTTTTCATGTCAAATCATGCTTCATGTCCCATTTTAGAAGCCCGACCCAGGGTTTTGTGCCAGCTAGCCGTATGCATGTACGTAATGCTATGCATACACATATAACTGAACATGCATAAGTACAGTACATGTACACACGCAGCGCAGCGCGTACGAGCGCACTGCATGCACTGCACTACATTTCATTGGGTCAGTACCATTATGAAAATAGGGTAACAATGAGTGGGATGGGATTAGTGCCGTCACAATAAACTTGCGCATTACACGCGTACGTATATAATTAGAGCAATTTATGCACCCCCAAGAAATAATGAATACAGCCCGACCTCTCTACACACAGAACTGCACAGATACCGCACAGTCCGGTCAAGGCGGTACGCGTAGCGTTAAACTGCCAAATTTACAGAAATTGTGAGGAGCGCTTTTGCTATGAAAGGAATTGATATGGCTACTCCTCCGCAGGTCGATCAAGTCCCTGGCTCCAAGTGCCACCAGCGGCGCCAGCACCGCTGGTTTCGAAAGGCTCAACTCGAAATTGAAAATTGACGTTTTAAACACTTGAAATGAACTAGTTTATAAGGTATTCGCTTTGCTTTAATTAGTCCAGAATCTGGCCTGTTTAATTTGATCTCCACCACACCAGCAATGCGAGCTGCCCTGCTGCCAGCCGAAAATGGCGTAATCCTCGACTCAGCTGCATGGACTGGTGAGTTCGTTGGTAACGCCATCTTCGGCGGCTTGAATCAAGTGTGAAGTGAATATAAAGAACCGGGCAGGTTTTGGACTATGCTTCAAACGTTCTATTTTTACTTTCGAGACTCCAGTAAAAGCTTTTATCATTCTAATTCATCTGCTTGTTATCACCAATGTTACACATTCATTTTTCGTTTTCCTTTTTGAAGACACCATTGCGCGATTTCTATTGTTTATCGGGCTAACTTCACCCGAATCCTTAATGGTTGCGGTTATTGGTCGCCAAAGAAGCCCACACGAGGCTACTACGCATGCGCACTTTTTTCAAGCGATATCGATACTAAAATGGTCCATTTGTGCGTGGCAGCCTCGATAGCGCAGTAGGCAGCGCGTCAGTCTCATAATCTGAAGGTCGTGAGTTCGATCCTCACTTGGGGCACTGCTTCCTTTTTAATTTTTTAATAGTTATATTTTGTTTCTTCTTTTTTTCTTCATTTCTCTACAAAGTTGTACATCAAAATGTGTCCAATATGTTTATCAACATCAAGAACATAATGTTGAGCACTTGAATGATTTCAGTCGGGAACTTCGACGCAATATGGGGAAAACGAATTTCCTTTCATAGCTATTATTACGGCCTATGTGAATGTGCATAATCATGTAAATTTTATTAATTATATATTAGGCTGAATATGTTTTTGTTGTGTTGGCAATCGGACCTTAAAGCACCATTTTAAGCACCAGCATCGTTTAAATTTGATACTTCGTTGCAAATTAATATTAAATAATTTGCAAATTTGTTAATTTTAGCTAATTTGCAATGTAGCTATTGACTGCTACTTAGATTCCCGTAAACCCTATGCTGTTTATAGGATTTTTCTGGATCGCACTGCAGTAGAATAAATTCTTTTGCAATTTGTTATTGATATTGTGCGATTTGACCGGATTCAGCCTTTTGTGACTACTCACTTAGTACTCTGCATACATAATAATATGATATAGGCCTATTCCTTTTTCGGTCTACGTTGAATGCCAAGTTATACTCGGGATTTTTGTATTGATCTACATGTTCCAAATTTCTTTCCAACAGCTCCGCTCTCAAATATAATTATGTACCTCTCTAAAAAAATCAAATAGTTTAGTTTTTTTTGAGAGAGAGAGAAATCGTAGCCTATATTATTTTATTAGCAAAACAGTCAAAGAATTTTCGATTTTTTTTTTTTTTGTTTTTGTTTTTTTTTTGGTTTTTTTTTGTTCTGCAGTAGTTCAATAGATAAGATGTAAACAAAAACGAAGAAAAATGGAAATTTTGTAGAGGGTATTTGTTTCGACACAGTAAAAACATACAAATCTGCGATAAGCATTTTTTGTTAATGATTTTGTTTCCTCAAACATTTATTCATAGCAGGTCCATTCACATTGTAGGTTTTGGCAATGTCTTATACTACGTATTAGTATACCTTCATTCACTAACTATAATTGTCTCTATATAGTTCAAACACAGTCTGACATAAATACAAAGTGAACGAGGCATGGAAAATGATATTCAAAGCAATACGAAATAGGTATTTATCTTCAAGTTTCTATATACTTAATAATTATAATGAACACAAATTCCTATTGTATTCTACAATGATTGATTCTACTAACTGGACTTTGGCTCAATCACAATCGTTCTCTAGACCACTCCTCAATATGTTCGTAGTCCAATGGCAAATCGACAGGAGGTCATGGGGATATGTGTCCCTCCCCCCCCTCCCCCACCCTCATCGAATGGTGAAATAATAAAAATCGAAAAAGAAACGAGACGAAGAAAAAAGGGAAAGGAAGGTCAAATGACGAGAAAGAAGACACATGGACCCCGTATGATTATAGCATATAAAACTTACCATTTATGGTAACTCTGTCATTAATGGTAACTGTCATGTAAATGGAAACCTCAATTTAATTAGCTGTTGAGTATAATGTTGCCATGGTAGCTAATATTGATGGCAAAGTTAACATATCAGTGGTAAATTTTATGCAACGGCCGAGGCCATGGACCCTTCACGTACCCTCCTATTTTGCGTCTTTCCCAGTGCCTCAAGGCACTTATCATTAAACGCCTTTTTATTTCTCTCTCTCACATTTCACATTGTCTTTACAGATTTTTTTTCTTCCATTTTTGTTGTTGTCGTAAATAAAAATGTAAATGTAAATCATTCTGAAAGCACTTTTACATTTCAAAGACAACTGAACCGACATTGTCGAGATAAGCCAACAATGCTTATAAAACAATAACAATCATAATTTTAGAACTTTAGAACTACATAACTACACAAAGATAAGTACATCACGTAATCACACTGAAAGAGTTCACTACAAAAAGTTTGCAACTTTGGTCCAAATTCTAATGCCGTAGTATGCACTCTTCATTGTGATTTTTAGCACGATTTACCCAACTTGTTTAAAAGCAAAAAAAGAACAGTGATGATTTAAACAAAACATAAAATACAATGTTCCTGCTTACCAAACCGTTTAGAATAAAGTCTGCACAATTTTCTTTCACGATGAATCCAAACGACTAGCACGTCTTTAATGTTTCAAATGGGTCATTTATACGATGTTATACTATAAAATCATTTTTAAAATGAAAAATCACAATGTTTACAAGTGATTTCTTTGTATTTCAAGGATTGTTGTGATGTCACAGGATTGAGATATATTATACATAGATATACACAATGTAAGATTTTCAAAGTTGTTATTTATCCTCAACACTTCGATTGCTTTCTTCGCTTGTCTGCATGGTCGCTCGTTGCAACACGAGTAGTTTTGCACAAAGCGATAGGCACACAGTAATGGAAGGATGACTTTGTGTAAAACAAAGACCTGGCAAAATCGTCCGTTCCGGTCTTAATCAGCTCCATGACAACCATTTAATACCTGTAAGGAGTCATGACGTCAGAGACGTTCCATTTTTGGACTTAAATCTACTCCACAAAAGGTGGTTTAAATTCCTCTTTTGAGAATAATATATTCGACTAATTTTACTTCGGACTCTCAAACCCAAACGAGGTAATCACCAAATGTTTTCTTCTAAAAGATTCGATATACAGGGACTCTTGAATACTTGGCATGTTAGAGGGTATCTATATATCATTACACCCGATCGCTGTCATCATCATCACTACTGTCATCATCCCGCTTGTCCGTGTCTTGTTTGGCGTAGGAAGCTGGGAAGAGACCGATCCGACCTTCCTTCTCACCTTTCCACCAACCATCATCCCCCTTTTCAAGCAGATTAATAACGTCACCTGTATCATTAAAACAACATTATCGTAAATATTAAGAGTATTACGACACATGCTCCTACGACGAATGCTCCGCTATAATTTGATATACTAACCGAGTTTGAAAACTTTAACCTTAGACCCAACGCGTACTATACCCAACCCTAACCCTAACCTTAAACCTAACTTAAACCCTACAGCAACCCCGACCCTAACCGGCTAACCCAATGATTTCGATGAAAAGCCCGGGGAAATTATTGATGGGGCATTTATTGATTGAGAAAATGGTGGATGTCTTGAAGTGAGACGAAATTAAATTTAGTTGTAATACATTTCGCACCTGGTTCAGTACTTCATCAAGCCCCATCATCATCATCATCATCATCACCACCACCACCACCACCACCACCACCATCAAGTGTGTTCCCGGCCGCGGCACCAGTGCAGTATTTCTCTCTATCTCTCCTAAACTCGCGCACATCGACAAACGCACACACACATATACATACACTCACACACCCATCCACTCTCTCTCTATCAAGTTCCTTTTCGTTTGCTACCCATCCCCCACACACCCACACACACACTAGCTATGATTTTAAATTTCAATAAAATGCTTCCCCTATTCAAGATATTCAATCTGATACTAACAGTAGTTTGTTGATTTGTATATTTTCCAACCTGATTTGAACACTAAGGCCCGAATTCACAAAGGAGGTTTGTAGACAGACCTATAGGTTTATGTGCGTCATAATGACGCGTTTTGACGCGTTTTAGACCAAGGTTTGTCTGAACCTTGGTCTGAAACGCATTGAAACACGTTATATGACGCACATAAACCTAGGTTTGTCGACAAACCTCCTTTGTGAATTCGGGCCTCAATATCTATATTCTCAGCATGCCATCGGAAATAAGCAAATTTTCAGATATCACCTGGTTATCCAGTTCAGGCAATCATTTTCTCTTTCACTTATAATTCCTCTGAATTTACAATGAGCTTATATCTGATAATAATGAAATAAAATCAATTAAATTAAACTATTCTATATAAATACGATATGATAACCTTTATTGATTTTTTTTTGATTTTTTTTTTTTTTTAGCTCTTATGAATCTTACCTTCTTTGATATCTATTTGATCGTCATCTGTTGCGTCATAGTCATATAGAATCGTGCATTGTCCTAGAACCTTGTTGGTTTCTGTAGAATAGAGATTGAGCCTCGTTATTATCAATACACTGGTTTGCTGGTTTTCCTGATATCAATATCTTATTCTAATTTGTTATGAAGCAGGGCCAATGACAGATAACTGTAATGGCCGTTGCACACGAAGCGTCATTACCGTGACGTAGGACTGCGTCAGCCAATGGTGCGGTCTTGAACGTGTCACGTGAAAGTGACATCGTGGAAAATATTAATGTAATGTGAACAGTACGAAATATCATTTTGAATTACTGGCTTAAGAACTAATTGCCGCACATTATTTTATATAGTAACATTTGTATAGCGCTTAATACTGCTTTTGTAAGCGCATTACATTGTTATTCCCCTAGGTCTTTTGAACTCGACATACATAAAGTTAAAAATTGAAATTATGGATAACCTATTTTTACAGCGCTCATATTTACCTAACATCGTCTACCACACAAAGTTCTCAATGTGCTCTAATAATAAACTGGCTCCAGGTAGGCTAACGATTTTAGTGCTCACAGCATTCAAGAAATTCCGGTTCTCATGCCCATGTCAACACTCGAATAGATCTTGGCAAATCTTGATTAATGTATTTCAAAAGGTACTCGAACCCACGACAGTTGCATCTTCGGTCAGGAGTTAAACCATTCAAGTATACATCTGAGGACAATATTCTCTCACGATTATCATCTGTTACCTGATTCTTGGTATCCAGGGGGAGGGGGAGGTGGAGGTGGGGCCGCATAAGCTCCAGCTGGAGGTATAGGAGCAGCAGCTTTCTCCGCCACGACACTGCCTGCTGCTACCGCTGCAGGTGGACCAGGAGCTGCAGCAACAGGAGCTGCAGCAACAGGAGCTGCAGCAACAGGAGCAACAGCAGCAGCAGTGACGATAGCCAAGGAAGGAATGGCGGAGATGTTCCGGGTAGACTTCGGCTCTGGTGCGTTGGTGCGGGGATAGTGAAGGGTAGACACTGCTGTCCCCTGAAGAAAAAAAATTATCAATCGAAGAAATAGTTGATGATAGCTCTAAATTGGAATTAAATTTGATTGATTTTGATAGAGGGCAAAAGTAGCAGAGTTCAAACATATACTAGCTGTAAAAGTTGATTAGGAACGTGATGATCAGATATAAAAGCGCAGATCAGGCCCAAACGTAGTCAAGAGGCACACCAGGCCTGGAACAATACTCGTCGTACAAGAAGCGTCATTAGGGACTTTTAGATTTGCACGAAGACAATGTGGATTGCTACGATCGACGTCCTTTTAATACACTGCCTTGAATGGACGTCACACGTATCAGTCCACGCAAATCTAAAAGTCCCTATTTGCTCCATTGCTTATACGTTAGATTATATAATCATGTGTATAAAGGAAATTCCGTTCAACCTGCAATCGCTTCTTTAAGTTACACGATGCCAGTCTCACTTGTCGCGTCAAAGACCGCGATATCTATAGTGACGCAATCTTGCGTCAACAAAACGATGAAGCCTCGTGTGTAACCGACATAATAGGACTTACAAGATTCAAAGTAAGACTAATTAACATGATAACTATGGTCAATGCTTTATTATGGTTTTAGTTTAAAATCAAGTTCCAAGTTCAAGTCCAAATTCAAGTTGATTAATTTCCACTTTTAATGATCGAAAATAACACAATTGAACATGTTATACATAATAATAATTATAACTAATCATACAACATAATAAACATGGTAATAGTTATAATAAAAGATACATTCATAAGTATGATAATTACATCGAAAAGCTAAATAAAGTGGGGGATCTACTAATTTTCGTTTTTGTATGATAGTATGTAAAGTAGCAAATCCTTAAAGATAAACAGTCGTGTTTATAGGTAAAAGGAAACACCTAGTGACATAGAGTCATAGACAATATTAATAAGCCTATTTCATAGCACAACGATCATAAACAGTTTATGGAGGCTGTAATCTTAATAATAGTTCGTAATTATAAATGTAGACTAATGATTTAACTTGGTCCACTGATTTATTAAGTGCCAAATATCAATTCTGTTATCAGTGCGTTCATTATGGGGATTACCGAAGAAAAAGAAAAAAGTATTTGGCGTTCCATACATTAGCGGATCATGTTTTTTGTTACAACCGTTTGTGATTTCAGATGTGAATAGACCCACCTGTTTGTCTTTGTTGATTCGCATGAACTGTTCCATCCCACACGATGGTCTCTGCTTGCCATCCATCTCTGCGATTGAAGCTAGCAGCTTGTACTTGGATGCAGTTAACATGTTTATAACATCGTTGGACTGTTTGGAAGAAGAAAAAAAATACTTTTTTTTTAATCAGTGCATTTTTCTCATTTTGATACAGTTTCTACAGTATTATTACATCGTATAAACACCTGGGCCCGTCTAACAATTGTCACATTCTAAAGAATCGGGATAAATCAATGTTTCACATTCTTAAAAAATTATAAACTTGGTAAGGGTATAAATAAATGTAGTTTAGTTAATAAGTCCATGGCTAGTGTTAAGTGAGTTTGGAGACGAATGATCATCCTCACTAATCGGTCTTGTACGATTCTCACTATTTATTTGTATGTAAAGAATTAACATTCGACCATAGTAATCTTTAGGAATATATGTAATATGTACTACAACTGCAACCACCTCTCGCAATATTGTAGGGGTCGCATCATGCCTGTATCAGAAACCAGGGGGCGTTTCACAAAACTTGTCATCAGTGACAAATGACAGATTTTGTTATAAGCTCCTGAAATCCTTGCTTCTGATTGGTTATCAGCAGATTTTTCAATGATTTTTGTCATTTGTCAATGAAAGAACGCTTTGTGAAACGGGTCCCAGTACTGGTGGATCTTTATTTTGATATTTACATGCATGAGCTGTAAGTGGGTGCTTGTTGTACTACTGTTCTTCTGATTCCTCGAGACATCTGAAACAAACAAACAAACAAAGATTAATTTTTGGCAATCTATTTTCGAAAACTCCTTCATTTTTTTTTACATTTTGTTGTGGGTAAATGATCTTCTTTTCAATTCATACTTTCAGAGATGGTTAAATTATATATTATTAATTTCATGCATGAAGAACCATACTAAAACGTTTTTTTAACATTATTGACAATGTTACAAAGTACCATTAAGGAAGGGCAGTCATTGTCCCTTAAAACGACTGCCTCCCGACAATGTTGACTCTTTTGTCGGGTTTATGATGATGATGAAAAGATAGCTCCTGGATTCTAAAAGTTAGGTCGCTTTAATTTACTACTATCATTTACAGAATGATCGTCATTTTGAAGCAAGAAGGGCGTTAACTCATATACTTTAACACAGAGTTAGTAACGCCCTACTGACTCTCAACAGACGAAATAAAATGAACTTGTGAAATCATCAAGCTGTCACTGAAATATCAACATAACTTGAACTTCGTGGATTATATCACTTCAAGTCTAGAGTACTGTTCTCTATGTCGATTGAGAAGAAAACAAAATGTGATCATATCCTGTAAAGCTGTCGAAGTTTGAATTTAATCATGAACAATTCATTTTTCGAACAATAGGCCCGGCACCCCCACTCAGTGTTATTTAGGGTACGCATAATTATGCTTGTTCCCTCTTTTTGAAAGCACCCCCTATCTGAGGACTGCCAACATTTCCGAACCCCCTTTCGCGGGCTTTTCGCGGGCTTTTCCTGCCTTGGAGACCCCCCTAAATCATGAAAAATTCTCAATGTACCCCCCTAAATTCGGAATAATTTCTCAGGAGTCCAAAGAGATGAGAGAAAAAAAGAAGAAAAAACACCCACTCCTTAAAGAAATATCCGGATGAAAAGTTAATACACCCCTTTTCTCGGGCCGGACTTTGTCGAAGGAAAAGTACCCCTTTACCGGACATTTTGGTAACACGCATGGGTCCGTCCGTTCTCGGAGTGGGGGGGGGGGGGGGGACAATAGGCCAACTGTTTGAATACGTTACCGTCTTTCTTCCTCTCTTCTTTGGCTATCTCCTCATCTATGATTTTGATATGCCTGGCCGTAAAGGTCTTGCGTTCGTTCATTGACATCCCATTGCTTATGTCCTCTTGCTGGAGAGAGAGCACAAGAAAAAGAGAGATAGAGAGAGAGAGAGAGAGAAAGAGAGAAAGAGAAAGAGAGAGAGAGAGAAAGAAAGAGAGAGAGAGAGAGAGAGAGAGAGAGAAAGAAAGAGAGAGAGAGAGAGATGGGGAGGGAAAAAGAAAGACATATATATATATATATATATATATATACATAGAGAGAGAGAGAGAGAGAGAGAGAGAGAAAGAAAGGTGGAGAGAGAGAGAGAGAGAGAAAGAAAAAAAAGAGAGAGAGAGAGAGAGAGAGAGAGAGAAAGAAAAAGAGAGAGAGATGGGGAGGGAAAAAGAAAGACATATATATATATATATACATAGAGAGAGAGAGAGAGAGAGAGAGAGAGAGAAAGAAAGGTGGAGAGAAGAGAGAGAGAGAGAGAGGGAGAGAAAGAAAAAGAGAGAGATGGGGAGGGAAAAAGAAAGACATATATATATACATAGAGAGAGAGAGAGAGAGAAAGAAAGAAAGGTGGAGAGAAAGAGAGAGAGAGAGAGAGAGAAACAAAATGTCAAATAGGATATGTCACTTTGTAACTTTATAAGTTAAAAAGGGGTGCGTTGACGGAGGTAAGTTTATTGAAAGTCTTCATTTAAAAAAAACGTGGGGGAATAAAACTGTCATTAAAAATAGTGTGTACGAGCGGGGGAAATGGTGATAAACAAAAATCTAGAGGTAATAATATGATAACATTATGATAATTTTGTTTATGCAGGCAAGCCTCATCATCTTCCAGAGGGCACTGCAATAATTATAATCCTAGCAGTATTGCCAGGTACCCTTTTACAACTGGGTGGAGAGTGGCAAATGTTGGATTAAAATGTCTTGCCAAAAGACGCTAGTGCCTGGCTGGGACTCGAACCCCAACTCTTAAAATTTAAATTAAATTGAATGAACATCTATACCACGAAACCTTGTTAAATTTTTGGGATGCAATATCATTTGTTAATCTTAACCGGGCCATTTCCTATCAAATCGTTAAACAAAATAAAATGGACGCCAACTACCCAAGGCAATAATTACAGCTTACATAAGCATCCATGAGGAGCTGGTATGTTGGTTGAGGGGGTTTCCCCTTCGCCTTCGCGATAGCGATGACGTCCTCTTCTGGTTGTACAGCAGCGAGGGCCATGTTGATTTGGTCACAGAACTGTCACAAGCAATAAAGATTTTGACACAATAATTCATCATAAGCATAAACAAATTTATCATCAACACACATAATTATGTTTTTAAAAAATTATTTTAAAAAAAAAGACAATTTCATCAAAAGACACTATCATGCGATGCCATGATGAAACACCTTTTCACCATGACAAAAAGGCCTATTCCAGAGTTTTTTTCAGGTCAATAAACTATAGAAATTATAATAAACAATAGAAAATATGGAATTACTCTTTAAACATTATTAATAACGTATTATGACCTTGAGGATGTATACACAAATATTACCCCCGAGGCGAGGGCCAGGGCAATATTTTTCGATCCCCGCAAAAGCAGTGTCACTCAATTTAAAATAAAATAACTAAAATTAATCAAAAGTTCGGACTCTCAAGTTTCATCGTTTTTATCCTTCTATTTGTAATCATCTTATATTTTTGTTCATTCTCTTAATGCTATGTGCCTCAACCCATCCCCAACCCCTGTAATCTCACCGTCTTTATCTTGGGCGTCGTATTGACAATGGTTTGGGTGTATAGATTGAGTAAATTTTTCTGTTGATTGATGCGTTCTATCTCAAGCTTCTGTACAGTCGAAGCGGCTTCCACCAGGGCAATCTCATGATCTTGTCTCGACTTCTCAGACATGAGCAACTGCTTCATGTACTCCATCTCCGATTTGACCACGACTTCATCTGCTTTTGAACTCTTCCCCTTGGCCTGTTCAGTCGAGGAAAAAAATGGGATCTCTCTTTCAGACTTGACTCTCGTGACTACTGAGTTACCCGACATTATTTTGCTGCGCCTGAAAGGGGTCCGGGCTTTATTTCATCAAAGATGTAGGTATAAACGATATAAACGGTATAAACGGCTGCGATGAGGGTTAGGGTTAGGGACCAAAGGTAAAGGTTAGGGTAAGGGTTGGGTTTGGGGGGGGGGGGGTAGTGAGTACATTTTTTTTTCTGAAGGAAAAGGAACAAACGATCAACAACACAAATCAAAACGAAACAAATTCAATAGAACCGCGGTGCAACCATGGGTTTTACTCCATGGTGTAATTCAAAATGAAAATAAAAGGAAATTGATCAAAGTTATAGGCTCCTAAATAATTAAACGATTATAATAAGAAGATTAATAACGAATTATATAAGCTTACCTTGGATACTTCTTTGACTGAAAGGCGTTTTCCTTTGGCGTTGGTTGTGTTGCTCGCTTGACTTAAAAGGGCTTGGGAATCCTTCGACTTACTGTACACAGATTTCTTTTTCTGTGAATAGAAATATATGAACTAATCATGATGTAGCCTACATGTCAAGAAAATTTATAAACGGTACATTAGGAGGGACGCCTCCTGTAATAGTTGTTATTGAATCAGACATAATCACTATATATACAAAGAATTTAAGGAGCGATTGACGTACAAAAATATAAATAAAACAAAATAATAACAAAAACGACTACAAATATAAAAGATAACAAAGAATGGACACTTTCTTGAAAAAAGAGACACATAACGTGTGTACGTACGTGGACATTCGCACAGTACTTGGATTCGAACCTTGCACCTTGCTGTTAGAAGTGGCACATGCAGTGGTGCATAGGGAACAAGTGCCCCTCGGCAAAGTCATAACCTGCATTATGCATACTTTAAGTTTTGACAAATAATGATAATTTTCACAAAATCTTTTGACCCAAAACACTTGAGAATGTGAAAAACTTAATTTGTATTGTCATTATTTTTTTTATTTTTTACCATACTACTTTCTTCTTCCTTTGTGTTGTTGTTGTTGTTGTTGTTGTTGTTGTTGTTGTTTTTTTTTTTTTGGGGGGGGGAGTGTCAGAATCTGTTCGTTTTGGACGTGACCACCCCCCTCCCATAATTAAATCTTAGATCTACCACTGTAATGATTTACCTTCATGAGTTCTGCCCTTGAATCGGTCAATGACTTCACTGCTTTATCCACGGGCGATTCAAACTAGATAGAACAAAAATACATAAGAATAATGACATTTCTTTAATACAGCCCCTCTAAAGTGTTGGGAGCCCCAAATTCGCCAAGACTTTGACAGCCAAATTTCACTCAAATAGTTACATAATGTATAAGAGGATGTTATTTAAGGCACACTACTGTAAAGTTCCCCCCCCCCATTCACCAATAAGTAGTGTTCTTCCATGGGGCCCTGAATAAACATGAACATATTTACATCAAACAGCATAACGTTTATACAGAACAGTTAAAATCAAATTCCATAGTACATTTACAAAGGTATAACACAGCAATAATAGACGTGGCACAACGAATACTCGTTTGCAAAATAATCATATATTATTAACCTAGTTCAACTGTAATTTCAATAGAAAAACATTGATTTAGTCGCAATTATGTGAATAAATCATGTTAATATTACAGAACATGCACGTAGTGTATGTTTGGCTGAGATGTTCACAAAGTACAACTTTGTTTAAACAATCTCTTAAATGAATTGACAGAGGAAGCCGTTCTCATCGAATTATCTAACTGACTCTATTGAAATATAGAAGAAACATTCATGACTTAAACTTCGATCTGTCTTTCTTTTTTTTTTTTAAGGAGCGCCATAATAATTATGCAGACAGGTTTCAAAGATGGTTAATCACCCAAAATTATATGGTAAGAGGACATCAAAATCATACGGTCTGCCATCATATTATTATGCATTGAAATTGTAAACGAAAACAGATGGAGAGTGTAAAATCGAATGTGTAAAAATGAAATAACATTGTTCGGTTAAAAGAAAATGGGGGGGGGGGGGTATTATGTTACCCACCCCCCCCCCCCCCCAAAAAAAAAAAAAAAATGAAAAAAGATAAAATAATGTGCATTAACTTACCAGTTTGTAACTTTTTGCTTGTTGCTCCGCCATTTTCTTCAACGGTTTCTGAATGTCTTTTATAATCGTTTCTGCAGCAGATCTGAAAAAGATAAAATATTGAAAAAAATTGAAATAGATATTACTCTGCTTTAATCATAAAAAGAAGGTCTTTATCATCTTCCAACCGGAGATTTAATTAAAAAAAGGCAACTTATATAAGTTATATATTTACAGCAAAATTGAACGTGCCGGATTGAATTCAGCGTATTTGCAAACATTGTTTATTCAGCGTTTATTATAAGTCAGTGGCGAATTGAATATTCTTTTTTCTAGGATGGCAAAAAAGGGTAAGGAGAGGCACAAGCCCCAAAAATCAGTGACAAAAAAGAAGCCTTCCGTCCCACACCCCCCCCCCCCCCCCACCATCCCAAATATATATATATACTTCTTCTTCTTCTTCTTTGGTGCAGTCTGCTTCCTTTAATCTTGAAGATTCTTGCAGAACTTTGGTGTAGTGTGTGTCACAATGATAGGGTGCATGTGCAAATAATTATCAAGGTGCAAGTAAAAGCAGCATTGGATCTAGCTGCTGCAGCCTCTCGTCAATTGGAGACGAAAGGCTTCGACACGTATATACCAATATGATAACAAATACAAAGTTTTTCTATCACATTGGAATTGGAGGTGCTTTTTAGTGCATTCTTTTTCCGCCGGATGATACAATAAGGGACACAATTAATTTTCAGTTCATGTGTGCCTGATGCTCCACCCACCCCCCCCCCCCCACCAACCACACTGTCATGATCTGATACAGACTTACTTGTGAACCGTAGCTTCGGTATCGAACTGGCCACAGAGGATACTCCATGCCGCGCAAAGTGTGCTAGTAGAAACAAGAGAATTTGTAATTATTACTTATCATTTTCCAACATATCACCATCTTCATCACTTTCCCCGTTTTGTCACCATCGACATCCTTATTACCCTTATAGTCATCATCATAACTCTAATCATTATAATTACTATTACCACCATCATGATCAGCAGAAAAGCATAATTATCATCATCCTTGATCAGTATCATCAGCATCATTATAATCATCACTATCATTATCATAAATATTATCATCCTCATCATCCCCATAATCATTATACCACCACGACCATAATCAGCGGCATCATCATCATTATCATCATCAGTATTACTATATCGTAAATAGAAACATAATATACCACCGCCTCTGTTATCACCATCCTCCCGCTCCTCATCCTCTTCCCCTGCCTGCTCTACCTGTTTATTATTATTGTCACTCTTCATTATCATCTTTATAATTAATTATCACCATAATACTCCTAGAAGAGATTAAAAATGGTGATTAAACAGTCAATTCTGATTTTTTTTTTTATAGCGTACTAAATTTTTTTGTTTAAAGATATACATTTCTCCGCCATCTTCCCTATTTTATCATCCTGCTTTTCATAATCATAACTATTATCATCAACAAATTTACCATTACCAATTCGTGCCGTCTTCTTCGTCCTCCTCATTCTCTTCTTCGGTATCACCAACGAAATCATCATACACCATCATTGCCAACACCACCATCATCATCATCGTCATCATCATCATCATCATCATCATCATCATCATCATCATCACGTATCGTTCATATCGTTTTCAATGCTGCAAAATACCATCCCATTTCCATTCCACAAACAGTTTGAACTTACCCTGATTTATGTTTTGTGACCTTATTGGCCTTGGCCGTAAGTTTGTTGAGAAGTTTAGCGTAACCAATTTCTACTTCAGCCCTGTAATCAGAAACAATTATGATAATGATAAATAATTACAGTTGTTTCTTGTATAGCGCTCGTGTCTGTCAGGCATGACTCTCTGGCGCTCAACAATAATTGCCCCGGATCATGTTGCATGGCTGCCATCATGGCGCTCTAGCGTTCCACTGAGCACCTCACCTGGATCGGGTGTGGCATATGTCGATAAATGCCTTGCCAAGGGACGTTATATCTGTTGGAGAGATTCGAACTCCTGTGTTTCACGCCCGCCCCCCCCCCCCCCACTCAGGGGTCGGAATGACCGCATGCGTGTTGCCAAAATTTCCGGTAAAGGGGTACTTTTCGTGCGAAAAAGTCCTGCCCGAGAATTGTAAAAAAAGGGGTGTATTTGACTTTTCACCCGGAGATTTCTTTAAAAAGGGGGTGTTTTTCCTTTTTTTCTCTCATCTCTTTGGACTTCTGAGGAGTTATTCCGAATTTAGGGGGGTACATTGAGCATTTTTCCTGATTTAGGGGGGTCTCCAAGGCAGGAAAAGCCCGCAAAAAGCCCGCGAAAGGGGGGTTCGGAAATGTTGGCAGTCCTCAGATAGGGGGTGCTTTCAAAAAGAGGGAACGAGCATATATGCGTACCCTAAATAACACTGAGTGGGGGGGGGGGGGGGCCGGGGTTTCACGTGACTTATCCACTATACCACAACACATCTACACCTCTACACATATGGAATAGAAACCCTCATCGCATTGTTTCATCTTTACTTTCTTCATTATAGTTTCAATGTAATGGTATATTTTTTATTTTTCATTTTTGAAGCACACTCTATAGTCATAAAACAAGTGACTTATTATTTCTACTGCATCTTTTCACGAAAACGTCATACGAGGTCGCAGACAGCCCATTGAGCAACGTATAATTATTTAAAAAAAACCTTCTCACGAATAATAGTTCTCCGACATTCTATTGGAACTCGTTTCCATTTTGATTAAAACACGTTTCATGCATTTGATATCCAAAACGCGTTCCAATAAAATGTCGGAAAATTTATACTGGAGACGGGTTTGTGAAACTATACCCTTGGTTCTATTTTTTAATAACCTTTATTCGAACAAAAAAAGCAAAGGCTTCGAAGTAAGTATATCTCGAATTGAATTGGTTTATTATCCTATACGTCAACAAAAATTAAAAAAAATTGTGCAAACGGATATTTGATTCAACAATTGTTTTTTCTATATCATAGGCCTACATAATTTATGCACGAAAATGAGGAGAATATAGACATAATTCAAACATTTCTGTATCTCAAAATGTTTTTTAATGTATGACTGCATCTGATATATATCGCCTGGCCTGTACGAAAAATATGGAAGATTAACCACGGTTAATTAGTAACGTTATTGTAAACAACCTTTAATCGGCAAAGCCACACACCCTTCCGAATTTTTTCAGGGCATCTTTCTCCACCTCATAATAGTCACCAACTTGTTGCTTTTATTGGGAAGGGAAACAATTAAGAAAGAAAGATCATTCCTATATTTAGAGGAGGGAACCAGCATAATTATAGAGTTAGAGAGAGAGAGAGAGAGAGAGAGAGATCTAGGGAGAGAGGGAGAGAGAGAGAGAGAGAGAGAGAGAAAGGGAGAGAGAGAGCGAAAAGGGAGGGAGAGGGGGAGACGGAGAGAGAGAGAGAAAGAGAGAAGTAGTAGTTGTAGCTGTAGTAGCAGTAGTAGTAGTAATAATACTAGTATACTAGTAGTATTAGAAGTAATTATTAGTAATTGGCTATGGTTGTGTTGGTGGTGCTAGTAGCTTTGCATGGTCGTGTTACTGGTGGAATTACAATAGCGCAAACAAGTAAAAATCTAAGATAATTTATGCACTGTATCTTATTTCCTTTGCGCTTTCAATTAATACTTACGATAGATTAGTATACGCCAGAAATTCAAGGCAGTCCTTGAATTCTACATGGTGCATTTATTCTGATTACGATTTCATATGCCGCGCCAGTCTCAGTGACTCAGTCCTATGCGTCAGAAAAATGACGCAGTCTTACGTCTGCAAAATGACGTCATTGTGTGCGTCAGGCCTTACTTACCTTTCTTCTAAGATGAGGGCCAATTCCTTGGTGAACTCTGTGCTTTCTCGTATATGTTTCCTTAACTCCTCATACCCAGTGGTATCCTGTCACCATCAAAAGTAATAATATTTGTTCAGTTTAGCTCAACTATCGATAAATGTCTAGTCTTGGTTCATTATTTTACAGTGTAAAATAAACAAAGAATTTAGGAAAGCTTGATACATAATAGTAGTACATAAGAATGGAAGCATCCTTTAAAGGTCTTGCGTTGATGAATAGGAAGAGGAATTGACTTGATCTTGCTAATTATGCATGCACTTCACTACTATAAAAACATGTAGCATAACAAGTTTGGTCCAAATTTTTTCAGCTATTTCCCCATCATATTTCGTGTTTGCTGGCACGAAATGAGGACTATGTTTCATGTAATACTCTTACTATGATATTATACCAAATCACATTAAAAGAGTGAGAAAGCTCAATTTTTTTTCTTCTAAACCAGAATCCAACCTTCTCTGTTATTGGATCATAATAATTATAAATGGAAGCTCCTCTCATGAACTGGTGACAGTGGTGTTCCTCCAAGGAGAGGGCTTGGGGGCACGTTACCCTCCTCCCTTCTCTCCTCGATAAAATGGCAAAAACAAAAGAATGGGAAGAAAGAAAGAGAAAGAGAGAGAAAAGAGAGAGAGAGAGAGAGAGAGAGAGAGAGAGAGAGAGAGAGATAAAGCAATGATTGCCCCGTTTTATAACCCCAACCCTGGCTTCGTGCCCCGTTTCTCTGGCAAAGACGCAAAGACTCCATGATATTGACATGTTCAATATTCATCTATTTATTAAGTTCTGTTTATATAGGGTAGTATTGTGAGTTTCAAAACTGTTTTCCACAAAGGATCAGATCCTTTGTGGAAAGCTATATGCATACTAATAGTGCATGTCAACTATGTTTTAATATTGTTATTACAGAAAACTCAGCTATATATACAAACAATCTAAATACAATCCATCAGAAGGAAGAAAATTCAAGTTTCTTTGAAAAATAAAAAGATAAAAACAAAACCAAAACTGGAACTGAACCCCCTCCCCCCCCCCCAAAAAAAAGAAGAGAGGTAACTCATTCATATTTCAGAATAGACCAACTTAATTCATTTCAAATCGAATTGAGTTTGCCGAAGGCTTACCAGATATTGCAACAACTAAAGATTAGCACAGAATTTCATCCACAAAGAAAGCAGGTGAACTGAATAGTCAGTCACTATAGGCCTACATTGCAATCCATTATTGTATCTGCATACTTTAGTAAACTGAGTTTGGTCCTATTTACTCAGGGTATAGCCACATACTGCTCTTACCCCGGGCCCTGCATTATAGGCCATGTCAATGACTGTATTCAAATTTGTATGCATTCGCCCAGTATCGAACTATAGTAGTATTACAATCACCCATGCTGTTTGCATAAATAATTGTTAGGTCAGAAAAACATGATGGCCGCTGTCCGACCTAGAAACACTCAATGTATGTTATCTGTATTCATTAAAATAAATTTACTTGTAACACGTAAATGTAATAATTCGTCACTGACATGAATTTACCAAGAGGTATGCATGAAGTTTGAATGTATTTCAAAAATGGCCCATTTTATTACCCGTCTTTAGCCAGTTCCCATTCAATAAGGACCTAGATCGAAAGAGATATACATAACACCTTCTCGAAGGTTCGAACCCGTGACTTTTGGCATTAGCATCAAGAGCCTTGCAATATACCACATTCCCCCCGAAAACATCATACCACAATATACTCACCACAAAGGCTGTTGTGAAGTTAACCTGATCCGTTGCGACCGCCATCCCTGTTTATTCCCACGAGCTCTTTGAAAATCCTTCTAAGATAACTAAAAGATGAAATGTTCACAAGTCACGAGTCCCAGATCCACTCCTTTTTTCGGTGCTACGTAATTAGGGTGTGGTGATGTATGCATTAATTGATCACCACATACACTGCCGTCCTTGGTTTAGACAAATTAACCAATTAATTACCCTCCACCCAGTTTATAAACATCTTCATCATGTGCCTGTCTAGTCGAAGCCAACTTCAGTGGGCACATTATATACAGACGACAGTAAAACACGATATACAATACCTTTATGGGTTTATAGTACACTCCCTAAGTATTTCGCGCCATGTTTATACGAGTATGATTGGTTGAATATTTTGTTCATTCAGAGGGTCGGGGATGGCAGGTCTCCAAGCCTCGGTCAGACCTTACCAACTGCCTTAAATTCTAACCTATAAGACTTGGATATTACTTACAATCAGAGCCAATGCGATTCGAGCTGGACACAATCGTTATATGGCAAATATTGCTTTGTTGGGCAACCACAATCATGCACATCAAAAGAATATACGCCATGTTGTGACCAACTGAAGCCAAATTTGCCAAACTCTCCGTATAGAGATGACTCTGTTCACATTATGCTATGATCCGTCAGCGCCGATTTTCTTTGATCCAGTATGTTGATCTACATGTAGCGATTTATAGACCTAGTTATAGTTCTTGAATATTGATGATAATGTGAACGGCCCTATTTGTATTAAGGATAATTTAAATATTTCATGAATAAACTCTATGAAGGTTAGTGAAAGAATCCGGTACATTTATGTTGTTGTTGATATTATTATCATTACTATTAGTATCATCCTCATCCTCCTCCTCCTCCTCATCATCATTTATTGATATTATCATTATTGAAGTACCAAAGTGGAATATAATAATTATCTTTGATGATTTTCTTAGGTTCATAAAGGGGGAGTAAATATCCCCTATGATCCCGGGGGCTTCTTTTTTATAACACTCCCAGCATTATACTGACCGAAATGGTTCTATGCCACGCAAGTTGGACTTTGCTCAAAATAATGCTGTAGTCCTATTATGAAGCTGATGATTAACTAAGATGAGATTAGACTGATGTCAAGAAAAGATAAGATACTAATTAATCTATTCAAGAAGAGCTGATTTTTGTTTGTTTTAAGACTTCATCTAAAGAGGTTTCTTGGACTAGTGGATACGTTCCCGGACTGTGGATCACAAGGTTCGCGGTTCGAGTCCCGCCGCGGCATCTATGTTTAATATTGGCTTACTCACAATATGACTATTTAATGTCATTCGTTTTTCCTTCAAAATATTTGACCCAGGAGGGTGTTTTCTTTTTAGATGACCAATAATGCTATCCATAATATATTTTGAGTAGTGCCCCAAGAGAGAACTTAGCCTATGTAGGAGAAAGCCAGAAATTTGTGATATTTTGTTAACACGACAAACGGAAGAGTTGTCCGCTACGTCATCCAATGATAGATCTAGTGATCTTATATTTCAAACAATCATGTACCTCTTATTATTGGTCCAATATATTTCCGACTTTCGCAATCATCTCCCCCCCCCCCTCTTAATTATCTGCTTTATTTTGATATAAATTATTACATTTAATTATAAATTTGCAAATGTTTCATAGCCTTTTAAAGGGCAAGTCCACTCGAAAAATAGAAGCATAAAAATCAGGCAAACCAATAAAAAAAGTTTGAGCAAAATTATATAACTAATAAGAAAGTTATGAATTTTTAATGAAATGAAAAACTTTGAAAATCACAAGATAAATTGCAACTCACTTCTGACGCCATTGCCTCACTTTCCACTAAGTTTTATTTATATTGATAAAACAATCACCCTCTAAGACAACTACCTCCGGACAACTACCCGCAGATAACTACCCCCTAAGACAACCACCCTTTATATTAGGACAACTACCCCACACAACTACCCCCTATAGGGCAATCAGGCGCGCCGGAAGCAGTTTGGGATTGGGGGGGGGGGGGGGGGGGGGCAAACATGCCAAGGGGGCTCACCTTCCACGGGCAGTGGCGTAATAAGCAAAAACCTTTGGAAGGGGAGTGGCAAAAAAAAATTAACATCACCCCCACTCTTACATGTTACATACAGGCCCCGCAGAACGTTTTTTTCTTCAAAGTGGAGTATTAACGATCAGGAAGAGCGGAGTGAGCGTAAATTTGCGTGGGGTCAAAGGGCTGAGCCCCCGGAAGCTCAGGGTTTTTAGTCATTAATTTACGGTCAGATAAGCATATTTAGATAACTTATTTATGACACTGGCATGTCACTAATTGGCGGGGGGCCAGGGGGCAGAGCCTCCGGAAGCTCAGAGTTTTTAGGTATTTAATTACGGTCAGGTGAGCATCCAGGGCCCCTCTTTATGGTCCGTGTTGGGGTCGAGGGGGCGGAGCCTCCGCAAGCTCAGGGGTTTTAGGCATTTAATTACGGTCAGATGAGCATATTTTGATACCTCATGTGTGACATTGGCAGGTCACTTATTTTTTTCTCTTTCTCTTCTTTCTTTTTCTCTGTAACATAAAGTGACACTGGCAGGCCACTAATTGGCGTGGGGTCCAGGGCGGAGCCCCAGAAGTTTAGGGGTTTTAGGCATTTTATAACGGTCAGATAAGCATATTTTGATACTTTATTTGTGACACTGGCAGGACACTAATTTGCGTTGGGTCTAGGGGGCGAAACCCCCAGAAGCTCAGGGTTTAAGGCATTTAATCATGGTCAGATGAGCATATATTTTGACACTGCTACAGGTCACTATTCTTTCTTTCTTTCTTTCTTTCTATTTCTCTTTAATATACTGTTTCAAAAAAGTGTGTGTGTGTGTGTGTGTGGTGTGCGTGCGTGCGTGTGCTTGTGTGTGTGTGTGTGTGTGTGGGCGGGGGGGGGGGGGGGTCGAGGCCCCCGAGCCACACCATCCCCCGGGCTGTTACATATAAATAAGCTTATTTCTTGCCTGACTGTAAGATTAAGAATTTGTCATTTTCCAACAAACGCATAAAAAAATATCATTACCTAAAGAGTGAGGAAATATCTCGAAAAATAATGTTATTTCAGCAACATTTGTAAATCACCGGTATCGAATCAGAAATACATCACATTTGAGTTTTATTTCGGAGGGTAACGCCCCCCAAGCACCCCACCAGCACCCCCCCCCTCCCACCAGTAAGCCAGCCTGAGCCCCCCCCCCCCCTCCCCGATCTACACCTTGTTTGCGGGTAAAATCGCAACTGATCTCCCTTACCTCGATCTTTCTCTGTATTATTCTTTTCTTTCCCTTTCCCTTCCCTTCATAGCTTCTCTCTCATTTAGGTCTCGGGGGGGGGGGGGGGGGGGGGGAGGAATGGGCCTTTCGCCCCCTCGATCCACCTCAATTGTTGGCGGGATTAATCGCAACTGATATCCCCCTTCTTCCTCCATTTTCCTTCCCTTTTCTCCTCTTTTTCCTTTTTTCTTTCCTTCCTTCCTTCGGCTTATTTTTTTGAAGGGGGACGGGGGGGGGGGGGGGGAAGACAAGGCCTGGGAGGCAAGGCCCTTTCGCCCCCTCCTCCACTCGATCTCCTTCTTTTCCCCTTTTCTTTTCTTCTTCCTCTTCTCTCTTTCCCTTTCTTTCCTCTTTCTCTCTCTTTCTCTTAGTTTCCTTAATTCTCTCTATATAGCTTCCCCCAGTCTCTCTCTCTCTCTCTCTCTCTCTCTCTCTCTCTCTCTCTCTCTCTCTCTTTTGCGGGTGGCGGGGGTGGGGGGGGGGGGGAGAGATCCTAAACCTTTGAAGCGATTCGATATGACATGATCGTTGTATTTTTCGCCATTGTATGCCTATTGTTTTTGGTGGTTCTTTATATTAAGTATAAGTTTATTTTTTCCGCATTGTATTGTATTGTACATGTAGGCATACTCATTGTACATGTACTGTGTATTCAGAAAGTAGCCTAGCCTTGAATGAGAATCAGGGAGTTAATCATGGAATGTATCTTTCTTTATACATAAAGAGTTCAATAAAGTAAGTGACAAACAAATGTTAAAAATATTTTACTAACTTTCGTTATCTAATTCTTTCTTTTGAACTTTCTATCATCTTCTCTTCGATTTCTGCATATCTGTATGTTACTCCATGTTTTATCCTTCTACTATGTCTCTTTCTCTTTCCTTTGTTATTCCTATACGAAATGCATGACACGCGAGCTGGAGGTCTCAATTCAGCCTGCGCCTTGCTAAATTACGAGCGCCCTGATTGGTTAATATTCGTCGCATCCAAATTCTGTCGAAGCTTCTACATCAAAATTTCACAGTAATGGCCGAAACGTAAGTATTACAAAGCCATAATGCATATTTTATCGCCATCGATAAGCTTGATGAATTATTTTGGTGCTCTCACACAGCATTAAAATTTGATTTCTAATAACTGATCTAAAATGTACAAATAAATCGTAAGACTTATCACGTGGGAGTCGTGTAAATTGGGTGGCTACGGTCCCATTCGTTACTTTTTGTGTTGTCACATTCAGGAATCGGGCTGCGCTGCTTGACCACATGTGACATCGCAATGTGAGGACTTGTCGTACGAAAACGGACTCGGAGTCGTAGCGCTAACATATCCTGCACATGTACATAATAAATAGGGGAAAGTAAGCGTGAACAGTATGGACTAAAAAAAGCATATTTAAAGCTAAAAAGTACAATATTTTCACACACTTCCTGCACATCACATTGTCATGTCGACATGTCATCATGTGTAGATCTACAAAAAGTCAAAATAGATTTTGTAAATCAAATGGAGAAATATTAATATTTGTTGCATTTTTCTTTCTTCTTTAGTACCGTAAATGACTGTAAGAATTAAATAAATCAGTTGTACTTTCCAGATCCAGATCCAGCTGATAAAGTCTAGTCTAGTCTAGATCTACAACTCAAAATCCTGTAGAAAAACCAACAAATCCTTTGCTGATTTTCCTCTCTGTCTCTAGACCGAATTTTCCGTCTCTTTCGTTCGTTAGCCTCTTATTGGGGTAGGGTCGCCGGCTCTCTCTTTAGAGACGGAAGCCGTTTATACACATGTCCTTGCTAACGCCACGGCCAGTCCTGGCCGTAGCGTTTTGCCCCCAAAATCCCCCCAAATGTCATTTTACCTCGAGCATGTTATATTGTAAATTAGGCCTAGGCTATAATAAATCAGTTCCACTTACCAACTTGACTGAAATAATCAGTTTAATAGTCCCTTTTTAGGAAATTATGGGTCAAAATCGGAATCCATCTTTTTCAACATGGATTCCGATTTTGACCCATAATTTCCTAAAAAGGGACTATTAAACTGATTATTTCAGTCAAGTTGGTAAGTGGAACTGATTTACAATATAACATGCTCGAGGTAAAATGACATTTTGGGGGATTTTGGGGGCAAAACGCTACGGCCAGGACTGGCCGTGGCGTTAGCAAGGACATGTGTATAAACGGCTTCCGTCTCTAAAGAGAGAGCCGACCCTACCCCAATAAGAGGCTAACGAACGAAAGAGACGGAAAATTCGGTCTACTCTGTCTCCTGACCTGTTTTGCTAGCATTTGTGAATCGGCTAGTTCACATGGTTCACCTTAGCCTTAAGGGCTCCCTTGAAAGGGTTTTTATGATATTATTCAAGGGAGCCTTAAAATGGCTCCCATAGGGTCCCACGGAGAGGTAGGTAAACAACATCTCAAATGGGTCCAAAATCACACTTTCCTGCACCCGACCAATATTGGACAGTGGCTTTGATGAATTTTGTGGTAGTTTTGGTCTTAATTACCTCCTGAATTTAAAAATAGGATGTAAAAATAACAAAATAAGGGCAATTTTTCTCACCAGACCGATACAGCTCGGCTCCCTTTTCACGTGTACCGTGTGAATTCACGATCTCTACACAATGGTGATGACCTCTGACTGGCACTTCGTAAATGTGCTGCTTCCGTATAATGCGCTGAATAACACTCGTACAGCGCATTATACGGAAGCAGCGCAATCCATTAATTTTTTGTAATCACAAAATGGTGTTTCGGACGTTATACAATTTTATTGTTAACACAAAGTCGACAAATTTCATCTAATTTTCGATCATATCTGCAAGTTACCATTTCACAATGGACACTCCTGTTAAAAACACTATTTTGATGATTTTATTCAGATTTAAATATAAAAATGTGTAGAAATATGATGCCAAAAATCAAATAATCCGTAAAATATCTAAATTTTCTGCAAAGTTGACTTATAAAACATAAAATATTGAAGCCACACTTTGTGATGCAAGGCATGGCTGGCTGCTTCAGTATATCCTTAATTGTAATTTATCAGAAAAAATCTCAACAAAAGTGACTCATAACAAATATTTAGCCACTTTAACAGCACTTTCTGGTATGCTGTTTGCACGTTTCGGACGTCACATTAAACTTTTAACAGACATTTTCATACTTTAACTAGTTCAAAAGAGGGGCAATGATAGATGTGAGAATAGCAAATTTCATTTGTTCAACCTCTCATTTTGCTATTTACATTGGTGTGTGTTTGCAAATCATGAGGTTTTCATTTTTTATAGAGGTTGTTCCAAATGATGTCATTTAACAAAAGATTGTATGGTCAATTTACACTATCTGGTAGGTTACAAAACTCAAATCACCCACTTAAGCAATACCCAGTGTGCATGGTCATGACATGGATATGATACAGGTATATGAAGTTGATAAAATCAAGCAAATTAAAATGTTTTTCTAAAAATTTATGAGAAATATGTATTTTTAAAAGGGCACTCAGTACATGTAACTAATCTATGTAGAAAGGATTACTACTGCCATTATCCAAAACTGGAATTGGCATTTACGCTTATTAATGATAACAATTTATCAAGCAATTTTATGAAATTGGCTTGCACACTACATGACACACTCATTGGTTGCATACATGTACCATTGATGAGCACAAAGGCTTCCATTATAAAACAATAATCAGTATTCAGTATCCGATACCTATTATAGAAACTTGTACAACATAATGTTGACATAGCTGTAGATCTGCCAAATTTCCAAATGACAAGAAAATGGATTACCAATTTGTGGGGGTAATTAAAACATGAACATGAAAATAAGGTGTAGCCTCTTCAAAATTAATTAATTCATAATTTTTTCCTTTCATTGAATGAATTACCCTCAAATGTACTAGCCTTCTGTACAAATACCTTTCAAGTGCTTGACCCTCATAAAAAAATGTACATGTTAATGATCATTTCATGATCCTAAAGATATAGTACCTTCCTCAAATTTATGCAAAAATATTGGGATGTACAATGAATTAGGATTCCCATATTTCTTATTACTTTAATGGCTGGGGATGCTTTTGTATACTTTTATGTGTTAAAAGTATTTTTGTAATGTTTTGCTTCCACTGTACATACTGTACATGTATGTGATAGTGATATTATTGAATGACACACTACATGAATCTAGTTTAAAGGGATCGTTTAACAATGTTAAATCTGAGATACACGGTCCTACATGTTATCAGTGTCTGTGATATGGTGTAATATTGAAGCCCTAAAAAAAATTGCGCTTCAAAATGATCAAGAAGTGCCTCAAAAAGTAAAAAATCTTTGAGTGACCGGTTTTACCATACTCCTTTTCCCCAATAGACTGTAGTGTTATGAAAACCGTCAGGCGAACGGTTTTTAAAATTTGTAATTCCAATCATAAATATCTTGATAATCAGACTGGCGATCGGCTTGTAAAAGTCATGGGGTTCCTGACTGACCTAAAGGTTTATAATTATCATTGCATCATGAGCTAAATCCAGAATTTTGTTTCAGAATCTGAGACAAAGTTACCGGATCCCTTTAAGGCAAAGTACAAAGCAAGCCGATTAAACATCTATGTTGTAAAGTTTGAAGAAATTGATGATCTGATTGAAATGTTCACATCTTTTAACATCCAAAACAAACTATAGCATAATTTGTGCACTGTTGTTCATAACCTGCAAAAGAGAGTATGTTTGTAAGTGAATTTTCTAGGAGTTGTGATGACTGCAATTGCTATTAGCTCCATATTTCACTTTGTTAGATCACATAAGCATTTTTAACTACACATTCCTGAAATGAACAGTATACATGTACCTTACATAAATTGAGTAGTCGATAAAGACAAACTAGATATATGTGCAAAACTAATTAACACTGCACAAGTTTTTCAATAAATGTTAAAGAAATATTTTCTGCAAACAATTAATGTAACTTAGGTCAATAATACCTAAAGAAAAGCAATTAACTTGAATAAAGTTATGATGTTAACAGTGTGTAACGTCCGAAACACCAGTGGTGTGACATATGAAAATTATTAGGCAATGCACTGGTTCCCCAATTTTTTTTTGGATGTATTTAACTTATATCATCAGTTGTTATAATAAAATAAGTTTGACCTAAGAAAAAAGCATTTTACCTATTGAAATAAATCTTTTTATTGTCAAAACCCTAATTTGGAGCTATTTTTCACTTTCAATGGACACAAAATCTGTATTTTTCAAGATAGAAACTCAAAAATTTGCATGAATAATCTCTGAAACATATTCTTAAAGACCAACATATTTGTCGGTGAAGTTAATAGCAAATGGGTTTTATATCACAGTTATTAGATATGCTATAGTTCACAATAAAATTGTAAAAACTCAAAGTATTCATATCTGGTGAATAAATAAGGAGATAGATTAAGGTCCAAAATTTGCATTTCTCAAAAATATGAATAGTCCTGATCCTAAAAATACATGTTTGAAGTGAGTAAACATGATTTCATTTCAGACCCTATTGTGGACACATTTGGTATATGTTAAAAAAACCAGTGCCATATGTTGATGTTTTTTTTTTTGCTAGCCCCAAGGGATCACATACGATTTAAGTTTGAAAATCCCCTTTCCCATTGTATTTTATTTTATGGCATTCTTTGTTATTTTTATAGTCAAACCTGTCCTAGTGACCACCTCT